AAGCAAATATATAATACCTTCCTCCCCCCACCTCTCAATAGGCTGGTTAAACCGGTGCAATCACTTGCTCCATTGATATATTAGGTTGCCTGGGCACCCACACTGGTGTTCGCCAAGAGCCCTGTTTCATATCATTACAGTTGTAAGACGTGTAGTGTTTAAGGATCAATCTGAAACTAAGTTCAAATAACTTGCCAAAAGATCGATTGGTGTTCAGCCCACTGCGAAGTAAATCTGGCAAAATGGATCTATTGATGGGTCTGCAAACAAAGATCTCTCCCAACTCCAGACTGGACTGCAAGCTTTCCAGGAGGTTCCGGTCGGATGGACAGGCAGCCGGTCCACTTGGTTAAACATGAACAGGCTCCTCTTTGACCAGGCTGTCACCAGCAGACGGCAACGGTCAAAAGAAGCCCGGTCCCAGTCAAATAAATGAAGGGCGCTAAAAGGTAAACACCACTCCATCTCAAATTAGTCCAGTTGTGAAACAAATAATAAACTAAGCCTTAGTTGGTTAGCTTTAAACTCTTACTGCAAACTTTAAGAAAGGGCCATTGTTTATGATGCAAGACACTGATGGCCAACTAAAGTGAATCATTCAAAACCAGATCATTTATTATCAAGTGTTCAATAGATACACAACGCTGGGAGTTAGCAGATGACCTAAAAACTAAGCAGGTTACACATGAATGAGTAGAAACTGACAATGGCTGAAAGAACGGCTTAATCAGTAAATATGAAAAAGGTTATCACATCAACGCACCATCTAGTTTTTTCACAGTCAAACAATGTCAGTTGGTAAGTTTAGTGTTTGTATTTTATAAATGCTACAAAATTAAAATGAATAAAGAATTTCATTAGTGCTGCAACTAACAGTTTACAATTTGATATGTTGACTTTTTTTCACTTAAAGAATCTTTTCATCCCTCTATTGAAAAAAAAATCATCCGTTTCTTCCCAGATCTTTCTAAGAATACTGTACATGTCTACATGCACGTTACTCATGTCAAGGTCATGGATGCGAGGACAATAAAAGTGGGGGCAGTGCCACAGGATATCTGATCTGAAGCATGTGGGTCATACTAAGCACGTGAGGTGGCAGAACCTGTGAGAATGCAGGTATGTCATCTCACATGAATCACCTTGAAGATCCTCACACCCGTAGGACACATATGACAGTGGCCAGTTGCTCTAAAATGGGGGGGTTTAACCAACCGATGCGACACTGAGAGACTTCCAGCGCAACGGGACCTAACATCCTTTCATGAACAGAAGAGCACAGGACATCGCGTGTTTGCCATTTCTGCAGCTGGGTGGGAAACGGGGTTGTTTTAATATCACTGAATTCTATACGCGACATTTTTTAAAAATCCAAAAGAAACAAACAAATCCTCCTTTTCTTTTTTAACACCACCATTCTCGTTAAAACGTGCTGCACTGTAGACATGCCTCTTGCGCAAACACTCTTCCCTTGGGAACTTGAAGGTCCCTTTGGGGCTTAAATTTGTGTAATACTAAAGACTGAGCCTTATTGCCATATTAGTAAGTATGCACTGTCAAAGGTAGTCAAGGTTTTTAATTGAGTACACTATATCGCTGCTGTAACACAATCTGGGCTGTGCTCCAGTCACAAGGAACAAGCTCCTTTCCTGGTTGTCATGGTAACAAAAGCCAGACTTGCCATTTGTCCAGCAGGATGCAGAAAGGTGTTCAGTCACTCACTTGCATGAGGACTACTTTCAGCGAGACAAGAAACAAGGTGTGTAAATTGTATAGTGGAATTCAAATTCATCTTCCATTCCCTTTAAAACCCTAAATGACACACAGATTATTATTTTTTTTTTAACATGCATTGGAAGTTGAAGGATGCTGATTTGTGTCACCGCTTTCCAACCTCAAAATGGACCAATTACGACTTTCCTATTAGTTATTTTATTCCATTTTTGAATCAGTGATACATATATGCAGATGTCTTGAATAAATACGCTAAAAACGATGCTTTATCTTTAACTGAAAACTAACTCGACCTTACATTGAGCAGTTTGCAGTTACCTCCTGATCAATTGTTAACCTCCACTATTACCACCAGGGATCCAGACCTTTCTCTGAATCATCTTGTCGAGTTTACCACCCTGCTCTCTCTGGCGTCAACACCACAAGGACCCTCGTCTGCCTGTCGGACCGCTAATGGGATCTTTGCTGTCAAGACGGTCGGCCATCAGCGGGTGGTCAATGCTAGCTACTACTCTTTTAACATTTTTGAGTGGCATATTTTTAGCATTTCAAAAAGAGCAAAAAAGCATGCGTAGCCATGAATAGGCGAGTTTTTCAGTGAATGATGGTTGCTGTTTGGTTCTATAGAGAAAAATTTGCAAGTGGCAAATCGATTGGAGGGGGCATTTGGTACTGTTCCGCACAAAGAGACTGAACAAATAATATTTTATTGACAATTAGAGTCTGAAAGAAGCATTATTTGGAAAATCAGATACATCTGCTGGTGCCTCTGTCAACACGTGTATCTCTGTCACATGATGGGGGGGGGGGGGCAAGCAAAATGATTACAAAAAAAAGAGCTTGGACAGCTTCTTCAAAAAAGAGAATAGGTCAAATGATGAGTCAGACAATGGAGAGAAACCGATATGTTTGTCTCAGGACCAATACCGATTAGCAGTAGTTAAGCAGGTCGATATTTGGAGCCAATATTCATTTACAGTAAAAAGGAAAATATTTCTGGACAAATTTTGAATAATACAAACTCCAGCACTTGGTCGAAATGCCGTTAAGCATGTTTGTTCAACAGCTTTGCATATTTGTAATTTGTAATTTTTTTTTCTTTTTAATCTTGGAGAAGTAGACATTTTTGTTTTCAAATTTTAACAAAAATTGCATTAGTCTGTCTTAGAAAATTAAAAGAAAACTTGAACAAATGGCTCCTTACAGTTTTTTAACAGTGAAATTTTCCAAAATGTCACTATAACTGCAATGTTAACATTTCACTAAGCTTTGTTTAAAACAAATAGTTCAGGGAGTTCAACGTAGAATGTTAAGAGAAAAAAATATATATAATCATCATCATTATCATCATCGTCATCATAATTCCCTGCTGTTTAACCAATTTTAATATGAACTCTTATTGGCCAGCAGATTTTTGAAAAAGACAGATGCCGATATTTATCAAAATGCCAAATATTGGCGCCAATAATCAGCCCGGACAATAATATGTCTACCTCTAATAGACAATATCGGTACAGCAGTCATTTTAAGGAACATAAACTACTCCTTAATATTTTGCTACAAGCTTGCAAATGGGGCAAAGAAAGTGTCAAACCTGATTTGGAACATGTAGCTTGCACTACAAAAAAAGACAACTTTTTTGGGGTGGGGGAAACATGACTCCAAGATGGGACTTGTGCAACAGAAAATCCTGAAAATTTTGTTGCCCGATGTGTGCATATGAATGCATTTAAAAGGTCAACAGCAGACCAGAAGAATACTGAGACGTTAATACCATACACGATTTGTGAGGCCAGGGGGCAATGCTGTATGAGCTCTTATTCAGCCTGCATGTCTTTCGACATGCCTAACCCTAACCTTGCGATGAAACCGAGTTTAACTCTGTCAAATCACATATTCTTCTATTTTGCGTTCAAGTGCAAACCATTGGTGCCAACATTTCCCCTTGGAGTCACAAATAATAATGAGTCTATGAGCAGCACCACCACTAATAACAACTAACAGTATAACTGTTGCATATTTGATTATGTATTTGTTTCTATGGTGGGTCAGCAAAATGTACCAGAACGTGAACCTGGTTTGTGATGCTAAAAAGGTTGGGAACGTGTGCTCTAGTCTATACAGTATTTCATCAAGTATTTAGCAGCATGGGAGCCTGGGAGTGGAGGGAGATACCTTTTTTACTGATCCCTGATGATCCCCAATCACACAGTGGCTACTTTGGAGGAAAACACATTCCAGATATGCCTGCTCAATAATACAGCAACCCTTCATTGAAGGATGAACCCTGACCAAAAATTGAAGGTTGCGCAAATGCAATACAAAGCGAGTGCTGTGTATGCACACAAACGGGCAGGAGCAGATATGATGTGAATATGATATCTGAGCTGCAGCAGGCAGCAGAGGGGCCGACTGCGACCCAAAAGATGTGGCACGGATGGTGGAGGATTACGTCATCGAGAAAAAAAAAATAATGAAAGGAGGACGCCTCAATCGCATGCAGGCTTCACTGGCATTATTAAACACCGCACCACTGTTTGATTACCAACTGTTTTGTGCAATTAATGACAGGCACGACAAAGACAATGGTTGACATGAAAGGCATAATGATTCCAAATGAATGGGGATGGAAAATGCATAGTTTAATTGTCACGATCTTCCCTCGCCATATTGTACTTTCAGAAGAGCGCACAAATAAGCATGTTGCTCTCGTTAATTGTTGATTCGTTTTCTTCTTCTTCAAATCAATGTGCGCCATAGAACTGGCTCTATTGACCACCAACCGGGCTGTCATTAAAGGGGCTTATTGTACACTTGTAACGTTACAATGAATGACCTATTAACGAAGTGGGACATTTATGTCGACACACGGAAGGCTGAGGCATATAATGCTTCATAAACGGCACTAAACGCGATACAACAATGCGGATAATTGATCATTTTGGTGTATTTCGTGGCTATGAGAAGTAACTGCGATGTGTTGAATGGGCAAAGCAGCGTTAGCAAACAAGGGAGCTGCACACTAGTGATGTATATTAAGACGCCATATACATTTAAAACATACCACTCATTAAAACCATTTGATGTTACATTTGGCAATCCGGGGAAAGCGTTAACGTAATGTTAATGTAAATTATTTTGCTTGGTGAATCAACTTGGAGTAAAGTGACAGCGCCGAGCTAGCCAGCTATGCTAGGTAACGTCAGCTGTCTGGAAAGAAGGTTAAAATGTTTTTAAAAATATGTCGTTATAAATCTTTTTCTTACCGTCATAAACTGCTCCGGGGGCGTCCAGTTTTCAAGGAATATAATTTTCGCCGTATGAGGAAATGGTCTTTGTGGGTAGGGCGACGAAGCCCGAACATTCAAGAGGAGTTCGCCCGCGGATGCCGACGAGACCTGGGCATCATTACTACGGACGGTCGGTCTTCACAAGTGGTCTCAGTCTGCCGCTGCCTCACACACATCCATCCGGCAGAGAGGGGCCTCCACCGGCCGCGACCATGCCACCACTGCCTCGGCAGCCACGGATGATAATCCACGAGACGCGCCGTGAGCCCCCGCAGTAAGCATTGGCTAAACGCGGCCAGTATCGGTCACTTCAGGCTCATTACATAAAACGGATGCAAATGCAAAAAAAACCCACATATAAAAATGAAAAGTAAATCGCTTTGTCAATTTAACCCCAAAATGTTGCGTTTCTGACTTCTGGCGCTCGCTAGTTGACTTCAGCCTCACTCCGTCTCACTGCAGCTGCTCATCTGAGCGACACAACAGCGGCGAGTGGCGACGTAATGGCGCAATTGGAGCGCGCGGAGGCGGGGCAACAAAAGCGGGAGGTGCGCTATTAGTTATGGAGCGCACCCAGGTAAATCGGCATTATCCTTTTATGTGTGGAGCTCCTCACGAGACCCGGATGTTGAGACTACATTGTGGTTCTTTACAAAGGGACGTTACATTACTGCGTAACCTAATTTTCCTCGACCGTTGAGAATCTATTTTGTTTTTTTTTATATTGGATATCATTAAAACTATTTTTTATGAATAAATAAATACCTCAAGTGTATTCATTCACATGTTTTGACCGAGCCGCCGTGTAATTCATATTTCTTGTACCGCGGACACGTCCTGATGTGGGTTGGAGTGGCCTCACGTGGCGAACAACGTAATAGCAGCCAGTGCACAACAGCAAGACAATGGGCCTTTGTACTGTCCATATCAATGGCACACTATTAAGTATAAGAAGATCAAGAGGAGACAGTGAGCCCACTGTTGCTGATAGGAACATCCCAAAGCAAGTCACACACGATGGACTGAGCCACAATAATGAAGTAATAGTTTTCGGGGGGGTTCTTTTGCTTAATTTTTGCATTGCATGCATTCAAAGCTGAGGCCTCGTTTCATGTTTCATACTTAATATAACGTGCCATTTCCACTCAATAATGAAACACGGAATAGTGGGACTTTAAGTAAAGTCTCTGGCCTCCTAAATTGCTCCAACCTGAGCACAAAGGGATCCCAAATCACATCTGGCATTGGACCAGGCACTGTTTTACGGAACCTCAGTGACAACATGTTGGGAATTCCCATGCACAGTTCCCCTTACTCGTAGGTAGAGCAATAACTGGTTGCCAGTCACTCAGAGGGCACATCTAGACAAACAACCATTCACACTCACATTCTCCTATACACAATTTACTCGCTTCAGTGAAATTCCGCACAGAAAAACCTAAGACAAGATCCAAATAAAGACAGGCTATCCAGTCAGCCAATTCTGCAATATTATTCATGACAAGCTGCTATATTTAGTTGAATCCTCAGGGTACCTGACTAGAAATGTAATTAAAACACATATCGGAACCTCGTTAATATGCAGACGGATGACCTCAGGGAGTGTGGTGTGATGAGTTCCAAGGTCCCACCGAGGTGTATATTAAGATGATTATCGCCAAACAAATTAGTCGGTCATGCAAATGTGTGCATACTTAAGCACGTTTTTCTCAGTTAAGGTTGTTTTCCTGGGCTATGATGGGGGAAAGAACATCTGGAGACACACCATGCTGGAGGGGGGAAAAAAGACCACAGGGGAAATAAATGACTTGCGCTGTGAAGAAAAAAAAAACATATATATTGCCTTGGTGTTCTTTTCCATGAGGTATGGCACACTTGCTTTCGATGTCATACCCAAAAACATACACTCAGCTGCATGTAATCGCAAATATGCTCCTCATAGTCCTATTATTTTTCTTTTGCAAGGTTTAATTCATGTATGAAGAGAGTGGTGTGCATTGCAGCACTTACAAGCTGTCATTTCACTGCCCGACCTTAAATTGGAAATAAGCACTGCAGTTGGCAGGCATAATAATTGGCCATTTTCAGTTGATTGCTGAAATTTGTAAGGAAATTATGTGTGTAGGTTCATGCACATTTTGTTAACCTAATAAGATAATTTCTATGAAAATAATATGAAATTAGAAAATAGTCAAATGTCCGTTTTTTTTTTTTTTTTTTTTTGCTTACAATGCTACTACTATAGAAGTACAGTAACCTTAAATCTTGTCCCTTTTCATTAGCGCGAGGATGCCCTCCCTCCTTGAGGTGTACGGCGTGTGCTTCAGTTGAAGGATGTTGGCGGGAAACAAGTTCCCACTGGGCGCATACATCTCTTCTCCTTTCTGTCCCATGAGTGCACGTAGGGTTTTGTTTCTGGACAGAATCTTGTCATAAAACTCCACCCCGCCCTTCGCATAGTCACGGGAGACCCCGGCGGCCCGCCGGTCTGACCTGTAATCGGACCACTGGGTGACAGCGTCCAAGGTGAGGAAGTAGGATACGGCGCCAAGCCCCAGCGCCACAAGATTCACGGCTCCACGCAACAAAGCGGGCCCAGCGTGAAGGCTGAACACTTGCTTCAGCACCACGCTGTACACCCAAACCCCACCCAGGCAAAAAGGGGCAACTGCAGCACTCACAATGGGTGCGCCTGAATGCAAACGTGCCACCTCTCGCGCTATGGCGAATTTCTGCGCTTGGAGGGAGAACACCAGGGAGTCCTTGAGAGCCGTGCCCATCTCACTGTCCCACTCCACAGTTTTGCCATTGATGAAAATAGTCCGGTTCGTGATGCCACTGTGGTCATCGTCCGTGCTGTTAAAGTTCGCTGGGATGCCAATGTGGGCCCCTGCAGGGAGCCATGGGACACCAGCACTGACTGGATGAAAACCAAAGGAGGCGAAGGCAGAGAAGTTCTTGGATGAGCTACCGCTGTAGTCTTTTAGCACCTATGAATGACAAGATTAACACACAGGTTTTAATATAATGTCACTGGGATCTATTATATTGCTTATATTGTACACTCTTCATGGCATCTTGGGAAGTTCATTTCGGGAGTCTGACGGTGTCAGAGTGCCCTGTGGAAAATATGCGTAGTTTCTGGCTGACCATTTCCTGTCACGATATAAAAAGAAGAACTGTGCCTTTGGATTGGATTCGGATTGGATACAATTTTATTGTCTGCCTTCTGCAGGAAAATCATTTCTCACACAATCCCACAATACAAAAGATATCATCGAAGCTGTTCCGGCTCTGGATATTGATGGGGGGGGGGGGGGGGGGGGGGGGGGGGGTCACAGGTCACTCTACCACTGAGCCATGCCGCCCAAAAATACTGGCCAATATCATCTTTTGATCTCAATCCTATTAAGATGCATCTTAACTGGGAGGGCTGGCCGTGAATGAGTTAAAAGAAAGCGCTAAACAGTAAAAAAAATAAAATAAAAATCTCCACATCATGTATAACTCAAGTGATATTTTATTTTTAGAGGAAAAGTCTAGATGCTAGTAGTAGGGCTCTGAGGTCTGCAAACCCGGGTCAATTAGTGGATTCCAGGTTTCAAAACAAAGCAAGGCGAAATGGCATTTACGGTAGCTGTGATGATGTTTGCCAATGTAAGAAGTTGCCAATAGAAGTGAAGTCAGCAACAAGTATAAATGCATTTTAAGTCCTCTTAAAAACATGTATTTTTTGCACATTCTTTTAAGATCTTGTCTTATATTTCAGAACACACTAACTTAAGCACAGCATACAGCAAATTTGCCCCTTCTGCCGGTATGACAACATTAAATATAACTTGGAAAATGCCCAAAAAACGAGTAATTTAAGTACGCACCTGCTGGAAAAGGTCCTCTAGCTTGTCAGAAAGGGTGACTGGCTCTCCTTTGGACCAGGCCTGGTAGAGCTGGCGGTACGACACGTCAGGGAATACGTGGTAGAACATGTTGGCCGCAAAGACGCCACCGCAGCTCGCCACGAGCAACGGAGTTCTGTACTTCTGAAGAAGCACCGCATACTTGAGGAAGCTAGATGCCATGGGGTTCTTTTCTTTGACGTCCGCTTTCGGGGGAACAATCTGAGAAGATAGATGGCAAGGATAGAAATCATACTGTGCACATCATTAAAGCATTAATATGACTGGAGCCTATTTCAGCTGTCTTTGGTCAGTAAATGAGGTACACCCTAAACTGGTTGCCAGGCATTCGCAGGGCACACATAGACGAATAACCATTCACGCTCACAATCACACCTGGGACAATTGAAAGTGTTCCATTAACCTACCACATATTTTTTTGGAATGTGGGAGGAAACCAGAGTACCCGGAGAAAAAACCATGCAGGCACGTTGAGGCCATGCAAACTCCACACATGAAGGCCAGATAGTGGATGGATGGATGTTTGACATCTCAAGGTTACGAATGGTGCAAAATGAACTCCTTTGTGCAGTTGCCTTGTTATTCACAATAATGCACACTCAGTTACCACCACACTTGGTTTTTAATTTTATTTTATATTCATTATGTAGAAGTGAAGTCGTGCTTGTATAGTGGTCACTGCCATGCATTGTGGCCGCAACGATCCTGGTTCGAACCCTGGTCTGGCTTTGTGCAAAGAGCATACTTGACTTGTTCATTTTCTCCGGGTACTCGGGTTTCCTCCCGCATTCCAAAAACATACATGGCAGGCTGATTGAACACTACAAATTGTCCCGAGGTGTGAGTGTGCGTGCGGATGGTTGTGCGTCTCTGTGTGCCCTGCGATTGGCTGGCAACCGGTTCAGGGTGTCCCCCGCCTAGTGCCCCGCGACCCTTGTGAGGATAAAAAGGATCGTAAAATTGATGGACGGATGGATGGACTTAGAAGTGTCTTTGTATACAAATATTGACTTAACCACTGCCTCTGTGTAGCGAGTGATGGGCTGCACCACATTTCGACCTACGTACAAACTTCGGTTACTTAATTTTGTCCACTTTTACACAATAACGATATTAAGAAAAACGTATGACAGCAACAATGAAGATTTAAACTATACACACAACACTGCACTGTATAGTTAGCGGTGGCTAACGGGCTGTTACTTACATGGCTTTGCTCTGGAGAAATTGAACACCAAGCAGCAAAAACTACTGCAATTAGAGTTTAGAGACACCTTAAAACGATCGTGTTGCCCGGATCATTTCAAGGACAGCTGTCAGTGTGTACGAATGTAACATGACAACCATGACACAACTTGGTCGTAAATCGACAGCGCTGCCGTACGGCTGAGGCACGACAGTTTGACGACAGTCGCAGTTGTCTGGCGTGAGCGAGAACTTTCTTAATTTCTAAGTGCTAAATATCGTTTTTATATTACCTTGTGCTTTGCAGTTACGCGGGATTGACAAGCCACAACTTTAGATAGTCCTGCACAAGTTAATCAGCGTTTTTGTGTAGTGTTGTGTAGCGCTAAACGTCATCCTACAATGGGAAAGCGTTTCTTATCTGTCTGTTACCTTGGTCCGAATACAGAGGCATACACTATCACTAATTCAGTGTTACGATGCATTGCCCGTCAACGAAGAAGAAATAGAAATCATTTCAAGATGTAAAACAATTCAATACACCAAGTGACAATAATTATGGTATTCACTTGACGCACTTTATTTTTGTCTTGCTGAAATCAACCTGTACAAGTGTGTGACTGACTGTACAGAATTTCCCTTCCCACATACTGCTGGGTCAATGGCGAGTACAGACTCAACTGCAACCCAGGGCATTGCTGTGGGAATGAACAGACAAATCGCACAGAAAAAAAAGCCCAGAATGTGTGTGTGTGTGTGTGTGTGTGTGTGTGTGTGTGTGTGTGTGTGTGTGTGCGTGCGTGTGTGTGTGTTGGGGAGGCGGGCAATGCGTCCATGAAGACAATACAAAATTTTCACTCAGGGAAACAGCGCCTCATTCACTATGTATGTTGTGTGTATGTGGCCCATGGATACATCATCAAACACAAATACCCCCACTACCACCAGGTCGACAACCTCAAAAAGCAAATTAGTACAGTATGTGTCACTTATTAGTTCACTATTCTATACACCCAACAAACCTCCATGCAGCTATGCTTACCTTTTGCCGAGACATGATGGCAGGAGAGTCGCAGCTGTGGGTGATGTTAGTGTTGCTGCATGACAAAGCCACAACAGTATCTCAGACAATGCAGTCATTTGAAAGTGACCTTGGATCTTCATCCAATCGGCAGACAAATTCAGTATGGGAGCGTATCGGGTATTATATAAATTAGCCCCACTGTAACAAATCAGTTGGCAGAAGTTTAGACAGGTTCGCTCACACATACATTTTCAGACAACAAAATATTTGCACAGTTGTTTAATTTCAGCATGCACTCCCAAAATACCACTACTTGTAAACAAGCCATTAAAATGTACGTTTTCCATTGTACGTGCCCTGCAAATGATGTTTGTTGACCGCTTGATGACTGATGACTCAAACAGAACAAAATAATCATTGCCAAAACAGAATATTTGGAATTTGAAAAACAAACATGTTTTGAATATATTTGAAGACAATCTCCCATACTCTTCATCTGTTAATTGTAGCTCAAGGTGAGAAACATGCATTTAATAAAAACATATAAAACCGTGTGAAAATTATTGAGAACATTATGCTTGATAAACCCCAAATTGAGTTTTTGTCCATAATTCTAAATGCACATCCGTCTCACAGCGCAGAGGTGCAGGGTTCGATTGCGGCTCCTACTGCCCCAAGTCAGCTGGGATAGGCTCCCGCACGCCCGCGATCCTCGTGAGGAAAAGCGGATTAGAAAATGGATGGATGGATAGATATTAAATACTAATCTTACTCTGGTGGCATCTGTTTGAGAAACGGAAGACGTGCAAATGTAATAGAGAGAAGCGAGTGAAGGATAATTGTGTGCATCTGAAAATTTTATAATTCGGGTTTATAGGCTGTCTGCGTATACATATGTGTTTGCACATATATACCAGATATGCTGATCCTAGTGGGTAAAGAAAATCCTGCTCACATGCTGTTGCCATGGAAACAGGCAAGTGAAAGTGTAGATAGGTGTGCATGTGAGTGAAAGAGAGAGAGAGAGAGAGAGAGAGAGGGCTGAGAGAGTTAAAACATACTGTAATGTGTGTGGTACAGTTTTAGCTTTTTTTTTTGTTTTTTTTTAAGCTTTTAGACTGTAAGGCAAGTATCAATAATATGCACTTTGTAGTATAAATCAAAACAAAAAAATGAATCCTGTCTAGATTAAATGACATTTTGTCATATGTGCTCTGAGTGCTCATGAGGTTTCAGAGAGCAGTTTACAGTCTTGAGATGTTAATGGTGAGGTTAATGAAACTACTTTCTGGACATGCATGTGCATCGGAGGATTGGCTTTCCTCCATATGGCTGCATGCACTTAAATGTGCACTCTGCAATCAATGCACCACAACTGCACACTCACATCTCCTGCCACCATAACGTGAATGCTCAAATATACACTTTTTAAAAGGGATATATTGTGGAGAATTGACTTTTCAATTCCTTGTATACAAATGATTCGGTCTCAGGAGTGCCTGCCCACCCATTCAAGTGTGAAATGAAACAACCACGAAAGTCTTTTCTCTGGCTACAGTGTTTCTGAAAATGTGTCTGTGAGCCATTGTGCATGTTATTAAAACAAAATATGGAGGGGCGGGGGGGTATATTTATCTTAACTGCTCTACATAACAAAGACAGAGAGAATCAACTTTAAAATACATTTGCTTAATGCATTGGTCCCGTAAAGTATAAAGAGTGTCAATGCAAGTTCACTATATTAAGGCCACAGTAAACCAAATTTAGAAAAAGAAAAATTTTAAAGACTCAAAAAACAGTTAATTACAGGCAGTTATTACATTGTCGTTGTAATGGAGAAGCAACAATTCTGTCAATCAGTCAGCAGACATCAACACTTCAAGGATTTCTGTGCTGTCCAATAAAAAATTTCCATCACAAAATTTGTGTTTTACTCTTTTTCACACGAAGAAAACAGAACAGAAAGTGTACACCGCTTGGAAATTGGTTTTCATTGGAGAGTAATTCATTTTCAATGTACTAGTAATCACTATTTGAGGAAGAAAAAAGTTGGTAAAATCTTGGATCAATCCTGTTAACCCAATATTTTATTAGCATGTTTGTTATGTGCTTATATTTAAAATACTTTGTCGCTTTCCATCCTGTGACAGTGAAGAAAAATGAAAAAAAAACACGGTCTGAAAACCGCCGCATTCTTTCGTCTCCTCGTCTTTTGACCGTACTGTACCCCTTTAAAGACGACCGGAGCAGTCCATTTCATCTGAAGGAGAGTTGTGCCGCGATTTGCGGAGACGTTACACGTATAACATAAGAAACGGCATGAAAAGAAAGTCAATGCGCTCTTTGTGGTGTTCTGGTTCACAGATAAACAATACTGAGTTGGTAAAGGAGTTATTCAAGTAGTTTTGAGTGTTGGGCAAAAAATGCTGTTCACCCCTTTCGGGCTACTCTATTAATAGCATCAGCTGTTCCAATACAAAGATGAGCTACTCGACGTATTGTTCCGCAGATGTGGGAAGCCCGACTACGGCGCGAGGGCGGCGGCGTGGAGCCAACACGGACGGAAAATGACAATTATGTTGTCTTCAGGGCTTTTCTAAAAAATATTGTTCATCAGAGGAACATCTAACGGTAAGTGGCTGCGTTGCCAATGAAAAGGACAGAGGGTGGTAGACGTATGCTATCGCGGATGAATTTTGCGTTTAGTTCCTGTAATATTTGGTGTAGAAACTGTTCCTTAAGTGCCACTGATGTAGGAAAAACTACTCGTCAAATGACAGTGCTTGTGATCGTTGCGGCACGTTTCGCTTCTCGTTTCGACTCAGGACCGTGTGCCGTTTTATGCTGCAAACTTGAGGAGAACGACGAAGCCACTTGTATATGGTACTGTATTCTTGGGCGGTTGCGATAGGGCTTCTCGGCGCGGCCGAATAAAGAGTCGCACAGCACGGGGCCTCGGCTCTGTGTGCAACGTTCTGTCATTGACAATCAGTGAGGATAATGCTCCTCTTTGCCCCTCCTGCATTTTAAGGAATCCTCGCACACCCACCTCTCCACCCAATGCATCAACGGTGTTGAGCCACTGAATAGGCACACAGGCTGGTGAACCTCTGTGCAAAGGGAACAGGGAGATTCTTGTTGTGTTTAATCATAGGATGAGATCATTCAGAAGCAACAGTCAGCAGAGACACGCACGCGCGAACACACTTACGCGCGCGAGTGCACGCACGCACACTACTCTGCTCAGGATGATGATAATGATGGTCAACATTAAGGTTCATTCATTCTGTATTATTGATTTGCCTCGTGGTTGGAACATCTGTGTCACAGTCAAGATTTCCTGGGTTCGAATCTCAGTTCAGGTTTTCCTAGATGGAGTTTGCATGTTCTCCCTATTCGTGCGTGGGGTGATTTGAGGACTCTAAAAGGTGTAAATGTGTGCGTGAATGGATGTTGATGATCAGTGTGCAATATTTTTGTCAAACCAGAATTGAAACATCTCTAAAAACAATGATGTTGCTGATTTTTTTCTGAAACATCACGATTTAAACAACACATGATAAATCTATATTGCACAAATTATCATCATCTCAGTGGGCAATAGTTATTTGAAAAAGTAATAATACACCCCCTGGCAGCCCTCATCTCCTTACTATGACCAACATCCACATGCCAAGTAAATACCAGAGCGCATAGTGCAGGGGTTTGAAAGTAAATTTACAGTGGGGGGGGGGGGCTGCTGGAGTAGGGTCTCTCTACATGGCAGGTTTTAAAAAAGGTGTGATTGGGACTGAGTGACAGGATATTTTTTCCTTCATGTCATTTCAGAATTTCGTTTCAACCAATAATTCAATGTGGGCCAACTTGTCAACAGCACTGCCGAAAGCTTTCATGAGTCTGAGCTGTTCATCCAGAAGTGATTAAACATAAAAGGCAACAACACGACAATAAAAGTGAGAGCAGCACTAAAGTTAAAATGTGATGTCAAGTAGGAGGCCGCAAATATCATGTTGCGGGCTGCAAATGGCCGCTGGGACCTGAGTTTGAGACCCTTGTTGTAGTACTGTATATAGATATACAACTAGCTTTTGGACTTGCACTCAAAATCCATGTTCGCACCTCGTTTCCCGTTGAAGCAGTGAGTCCCAAATCAACCCAAATGAGGTACTAATTGTACTTTTGCCGAAAAACACATCGTCCAAAAAATGAAAAATCCAGTTTAATGCTAATGGTAACTGGAGTGCACTTCTATAGTGCTTTATCTCCACCATATGTTACCCAAAGCATTTTATCAAGCCTCATGTTTTTTTGAAAACTCATGAGTGTTAACCAACGAGCTAAAACAGCTGTGTCAACCGACAGAACCGTTTTCCTTTTTATTTTAAAATAACTGCAACCTCCAGGAGCCCTTGCCATACACTGGCCTAAATCACTTTTGTTAAAGGTTTTAAATCCATCTGTGTTCTGTTATACCAGCGAGCTAGCAATAAGCTAACCCGGGAAAGTTGATTTCTCCGGTCCAACAACCTTGTTTGCAAACTTACTTAGCGCTAGGATGGCGTCAGAGGCTAACAGCGAAGTAATAAGGGAGGCCTGCCTTGATGGGCGTGAATGACTGATTGCTTAACAGTTTCATTTAATGATCATTAGGCGGCTAAACATTCCGATACACGTGCAAATACCTCCGGCTGTCGCTCTGCATACTCCACAGACGTACATACCGTATTTTCACGACCACACGGCACATTGTATTGCATCTCAATTCGCATTATCAACAATTCGCGCAGAGCCCTAATTCAGAACAAGAGGTAGCTCCACCGTTCAGTTTTGTTTACATATTTACTAAATTGATTTAAAGCTCAAATGTACACCATCACTTCAGCCTGAAAAGCACATCGGCTGATAGCAAGAAAGGCTGTTTTATCCCCATATGTATAGTAAAATGATCCCCAGCAGTATTTTATGAAACATCATTGTGTATACTACAAATGATTTTCCTTTGTGACAGCCATCCATATGTGACTGGATCAGGGGGCTTTGGCTCCGAAATTCTCCACCTACTGCTCATATTGACTGGCAGGTTTTCGAAAGGAAGGAAACATCTTCCTTCCCTCCATTGTGCAGGCCAGGATAAAATGGCCGGTTGCCAGCTGACAGCTGCTTCCCGGTCGCCCATAAGCTTACTCACATGCATGCAAATCTGTGTGGGCGCACACCAGTGAAAGGCCAAATAAGGTATAGATTAATTACTGAGATTGGTTAGCCCAATATTTTCCCCAAATTTGTATTTAAGCACCGAAAGACCTGTCGTAAGGTCTTTTGGTAGAAACTGATACTTATCAGATCTTGGGAGATTCCTGATTCTGATCTGCAGATGTCTGATTTCCTGCGTTTACCGCCCACTTCTTTTTATGTTGCCATGACACATAATCCAATATTCACTTATAAGCCAAAAATCCGCATTATGTCACTTGAACAATGTAACGTATGACTTTTAAACTGCATGTGTTATAAGCAAAAAGGCTGACTAGTCCAGCAGCATCAAGTCATCTTCACACCCTCATCTTGCCCCTTGGCTCGCCTCCTACTCATTCTTTTTGGCACTCTCTCCCACACTGTGGCCCGCTGTTACGTGAGCATTCTGCCATAATAGCACGATTGAGTGACATATTGACGCTTCGGTGTCATCACTCACAGATTGATTGCGAACACATGGTTCTCCAGACTGCACATATGTGACCATTTCTGCAGATAAGTGTCGGACACATGCAGAGTGGTGATACATGACCGTATTAAGTTGCACACAAAAAGGTCAAAACAACAACCACATTGCGAGGCTGATAAATAGTTTTGAAATGCAACATCAGAAAAGACACCGAGTCAGGGAGGGGAAATGAGAAAGGTTGGTATTAACCAGAATAGCAGTAACCATGGTTGCGGTACAAGCTGTGTTTGCTTGCATGTGCGTGTTGACTCCCTAAACTTGTTAACCACGAGCTTCAAACGAAGGGGTGAACGGAACACTGAAGCACCCTTGATTACATCTCTGCGGTAACAGGAGAAAAACGAATGTGAATGTCAAGTTCAGAGTTGTTTTGTTTCACCTTCAGCCAACTGAGCTAAGCCCTGCCAACTAATCAGCTCTTTGCCTGCTCTCACATTCTGCCCAGTTTTGTTTACTTTAGTCTTATAAATAGACAAGATGATCTTGAATTGCCTGTTTTTTTTGGAGGGATGGGCTGGGAGACAGATTAACTTCTTCCACCTTGAAGTGGCTAAAAATTTTGGTGAAGATCTTCACACTGAAAAAAGTGCTATTTTGCAATTTCAATGAAAGGGAGTTACCAAATTATGGAAAAACACAACTATGGTGCAAGAAATGTCAACAGCCTGGCCTTGGCAGAGGTCTGTGCTCGACTGAGTGCCGTGGTACAGGACAAGGTGTTCTCTGTTGGTGACGAGGTTTTGTTCCTACAACGGCAACAAAAACCCGAATCCGAGGGCAAATTGTTGCAAAAAGACAAACTCCACAAAGTATTCCTGCAGCTTTAGTGGCATATATTTGTGTATTCATTGTTGGCAAATTTACACATCTCCTTCTACATTCATTTTCTGATGACGATCATTTCCATTAATATCAGTCAAGGATGATTTAAGACAATGGCTACATTTTTGTATCTTATATAACCCCAAACCCTTTTATCATAGCATGAGTACCTCCTCATATGTGTGGATGATTCTCCAAAAGTAGAAGGCAACACAACTAATTAATAAATAATTTGATCTCATCTCCTTAATTTTAACATTTAATCATCAGGCATCGCCTTCCTTTTAACCGAAATTATAAAAAAAAAGCCTTCAAATTAATTATGTAATAAATTGTAAAAATATATAAAAACCAATAAACCCGTGTTTTGTTCAATATAATTAATTTCTATAATATTAACCATGCACACCTTGAAACAAGAATTCAATATTTAATTATCAGCAAAAAAAAAAAAAAAACACTATTTCCCCCCCAGGGAAAGAAATAAAAGCCCACATACCATTTATTGTCGGGCTTTTAAAATGCCAGAGCATACAGTATTTACTTATCATTCATCCATCCATCCATGTTCTAATCCGCTTAACCTCAAAAGGGTCACAGGCATGCTAGAGCCTATCCCAGCCGTCTTCGGGCAGTAGCGGGGGGACACCCTGAACTGGTTGCCAGCCAATCACAACCATTCGCACTCACTCTCACACCTTGGGACAATTGAAAGTGTTGCATTCACCTGCCGTGCATGCTTTTGGAATGTGGGAGGAAACCAGAGTAACCGGAGAAAACCCACGCAGGCATGGGGAAAACATGCAAACTCCACACAGGAAAGCTGGAACCGGAATCGAACCCTGCACCTCTACACTGTGAGGCAGACCATGCTACCCAGTCGACCACCGTGCCGCCTACTTATCAGCTTTGAAATAAAATATTAAATTGCACTCCGAGTTGAGCGCTGTTACAACCTCAGCACGTTACAATATTTGTAGGGACTGCCGTGACCGGAGGCCTCCCCTGTAGTTTGTTCCTGCGCCTTGTTGCACCTTCACTTGCAAAGGGTGACTGTTAACCGTGCAAGAGAACATTATTTGGGAACAAAGATCATAAAGTTCGCACCCGCCGTGGGAAAAGGAAACAAGTTACTGCTCTGACTATGGTGCACTTTACTGGCTTCACCTAGAATTCACTGGCGGACCAACCGGTCTTGTATTTACGATTTTGTATTTAACAATTCTTTCATATATTTAGAAGACTACAGCAAAGGTTCAAGCTTTGGCTCTCAAACAATGGGAAAATGTTTAATCTTTGTCGGCCAGCTTTCATCACAACGGCAGTTACGGAGTCGCTAGAATAGAAATGAAACAAAGGGCTGCATTTACAGTAAAGGCCTTTTGTGGGTTGCCACTGGGAGCCCCTGGTGGGATAAAAAGCATCAGCCACAGAAAGCACTCTATGCTAGCTAATGCAGTATCACTCCGTTTAGCTTCATGCCGTTTAGTGTTTCTTCCCAAATTTCGACCGATCTTAGCTGTAATCACAAACCAGTCGGGGTTAAAAAAAAATAATATAAATCTCAACTCAAGAGTCTTTTCTCTGTGTCTTCCATCACAGACCAGTGCCACACACGAGCCGCCTTCCCACCTTTCAACTCCGTCGTTGAGGGGTAGCCATGGCGACCAGCGCGGTGCCAAGCGACAACCTGCCAACGTACAAGCTGGTGGTGGTGGGAGACGGCGGCGTCGGCAAGAGCGCGCTCACTATCCAGTTTTTCCAGAAGATCTTTGTGCCAGACTATGATCCCACCATAGAGGACTCCTACCTTAAACACACCGAGATCGACGGACAGTGGGCCATACTGGATGGTGAGTGCAAGTTGGGGTATGTCGGGAAAACCCACGCAAGCGGGGAGAACGCGCAAACTACGTGTGGTAGGGCCTGAGCCAAGATCTAAACCCCGAACCTGTTGACTGAGAGGCAAATGTACTAACTACTAGTACACTGTGCTGTCCTGCTCCATTTGGATGTTTCTAAAAAAGGGTGGTCAGTTCCCATCTTATTTCGCAACTTGCTACATGTGAATTAATGGCAAAAGTCACCTATTCACTGTTTTTGATCTGAGGCCAAAGCATTATCTGTAGAAGACGTACTTTGGCTCTATCTTGTGGGATCTTGGCGATAGCAAACTTTCCTGTCGTAATGAGCGGAGCTACTTGTAATCATTGAAGCACCAACCAATATTTACAGGATGCCTTTATCTGCAACCACTTTCAAGCTACAACCTTTTGCAATTGTGATATTTAAAATGAATATTGTATTGAAAAAAACTGGCGCCCCACGGGTTAAGATCAAAACCAAAGCCATGTAAAACCATTAAACCTCCAGGTTCATGATTGCTAATATCAGAGATTTGGGATGCAGACCGATATAATCCGATCTAGGTGTTTTTGCTGACATCTGATCGGACACCCCGAGACATTTTTTTTTTTTTTTTTTTACTGTGTTCCTTGACTACGGTCATCATGTGTGACAGTTTATAGCTTTAAAATGAATAGGGAAAGAGTCAAATTTTTGGTGTGTGTGTGTGTGTGTGTGTTTTATTGTGTTTTTTTTTTCGTGCAAATGTACACCCACCCAGTGCTGGACACAGCCGGTCAAGAGGAGTTCAGTGCCATGAGGGAGCAGTACATGAGGACAGGAGACGGCTTCCTCATTGTCTTCTCAGTGACGGACAAGGCCAGCTTTGAACACGTTGACCGCTTTCATCAGCTGATACTGCGGGTCAAAGACAGGTTAGAAGACATCCCAAAACACAATTTTTTGCTCCATTTTTATTTTACAATTCATGTGTCATTCAGTAACAGGATTTTCGTAGATAATAGTATAAATACACCTAAGGTACCACGTGTTTCAAAACCTTTTCTCTTGTCACAGTTGTTGTTTTATAAAAATCATAACCACTTTGACTTCCGCTGAATAATAGCATCAGTGTGGTTGAGCTTCACATGCTCAGCAGAAAGGTTGGCGGGCGGCGTTGTCTTCTCAGTGTGACACTCATCAGAGGACTTCTTCCTTTGATTTAAAAGTGCACCACCGTTGGAGCAAAATGTACGACTTGTTTCTAAATCTCTTAACTGTGACCAACAGCCACCCTAAAAACGGACATTGCAGGAAAGAGGAAGTGAAACCAAACCCATTGTCTGTTCAATATTAAGCTGCACTCGATTCCCTCCGGAAAATAGAAGTCTGATGAAATATGCAATGGTGCGTCAAACTCTGATTTAGTAGAATTTCAAATGCAAAATTCCCAAGAAGATCAATTATATTTGGAACCCGAATTGAAACCCGAGTCCAAACACGACTGTCCGGTGCATCAGCGGTCCGCAACCTTTCATGACCCACCGACCGGTTTAATGTCAGACAATATTTTCAGGGAGCGGCCTTAAAGGTGTGCCGGATAAATAGAACAAAATAATATGACATGACCTGCATGAAAACGGAGATACAGTCAAACCTCGATTTTCGAACGTCTCTGTTCTCAACCAAATCGGTTTTCGACCAAAAATTTCGAGTTTTTTATGCCTCGGATTAAGACCGAAAATCGGTTCTCGACCAAACTGAGCGCACTTGAATGCGCCACTTGACTCCTCTCGCCTTCCTTACACGAGGAAGTGACGCTTCCTCGTGTAGCGTTCCATTGTGAGCAGACGTGTTCAATAAAGTTTTTTTTTGTTTTTTTTAAAGAGCGTGGTTTCGGTTTTCGAACAAATCAGTTTTCGAACAGCCTTCTGGAACGGATTATGGTCGAAAACCGAGGTATGACTGTATTTTGTTAGCATAATAATAAACACGAATCATGACACGAGGAACGTCCTATCTAGCCGCAACACTCTCTGGTTGCTATGGTAACACTTAAGCGTGCCTTCAAAATAAAATACGACACAAATACAAAGTGCATGAAAAATACGACTCACCATCGCCGCATATGATGCAGAGCGGGCTTGGTGCGTGGGAATCTCCCATTGTGATAAATCCGTATTTTATGCTCCCTATACTGCCTATTAAATGTAGCCTTCTTTTTCTTGAAAGTTATAGGCTCCTTTTCTGTCTACTGACTGGGCCTTTTTCCTTAACCAAAGACGTTTGTTTTTTACTCATTTTGCTATCTCCTGGGTTTCATTTTTGCGGTAACCTATCACGTGACCGAAAACCATGCCTTGACCTGCGTCAAGAGTGACATACTGTAGACGGATGTAACAGAGAATCCGGTAATTTTTCAAAATAAAAGATCTTTCAGATTCCGAAATGAATAAAACGGAAGTAATGTAAGTTATTCTTTTTTTTTTTTCTGTGTGGCCCGGGACCAAATGACCCACAGACCGGTAGCGGTCCGGGGTTTGGGGAACACTGCTGTACGTGATAAGTTACACAAGTGGAAGCACAAGTTAACCATTGTTAAAAACAGTGACACACGATAAAAAAAGGATGTGTAAAAAGCGATACTTTATGATGCATCTCATCTTTTAATGTTAAAAGCCACACAAATGTAAAATGAAAGTAACTGCAAACGTTTTGCAATATAACACAAACATGACACTGTCCCTAGCAGAGAAGCTAACATAGCAGTCTAAACTTGACTCAGTGTTCCTTCTCTTCAAAAGCATGGCACTCAATTCCCGGTTAAATCCACTGCAAATTCGTCTTCTTTCAATCCTGCTCTATTTTCAGACGGTGTCCCTAAAAGCGAAAATGCACATGTTTAAGCAACAACTTGCAAAGGGCTACCAGTTTGATACACACTTCTTCAATTAAAAAAAAAGGCTCAAATTACCTTTAAGTATATGATTAATAATTGATGATATTCATCAACGTGAAGACACCAATCACGTTAATGATTTAACAATGTAGGAATGTCAATATCAAACGCTATTTCTCGAAATCTCCGGGTTTGCATTTTCAAATGATTATTTCTACAGCAATAGCTGGAAATCACATTGTCCCAACACTGGTAAGGTGGTCCACGGGCTACATGGGAGGGGTGGGGGCTACTCTGGAAATTACACTCATTGAAAATATGTAGAATGAAGGCGTTTTACAAGCTTTTAAAGTGTTGAACAGCTTTCTGATTTGCTGTAACGTCCTCACAGGGAGGCTTTTCCGATGGTGCTTGTGGCAAACAAGGTGGACCTGGTCCATTTGAGAAAGATCACCACTGAGCAGGGCCAAGAGATGGCTGCAAAACATAATGTAAGTCGATACACCTGGAACAATACATGAAAGTGTTTGTAGAAATTAGCCAGTATGCCAACAAGAACCATTAGAGCACTCTGTCCCCGCCCCCCCCAAAAAAAAAAGATCACAAAAGAAGTATATTGCATCTATTTTGTTTAGATAACATACATTGAAACCAGTGCCAAGGATCCTCCAATGAATGTGGACAAGGCCTTTCACGAGCTCGTCCGTGTCATAAGGTAATAGGTTCAATGTTTTGTTTTTTCTTCTTATCTGAACACACTTGTCGCCGTTTTCAGGAATTACCTCCACCAAGCACAAGGCATGTATTGTTTCCCATGTGCGGTGTCAGCAGCAGTATGCCAAGACTCGTCTTACCTGATTTCCAAGATTCTTGTCACGCGTGGCTTTGGTTGACATCCAGATCAGGAGCCGTCCGGTCAGAACAGAAGAGTCCATCTTTTTTCCACAGGATGGGAGCTCAAAGGTCGACCTAGGAATTTGTCGGTTTCTGACGTGGTATCAGAGGTGTAACGTCACCAGCCCACGGCCAGAGTATGACTCTTTAGCATCCGAGACTCACTGGCACACACCCCTTTGTGTTGAAAGCAATTGCCACCATGCTATTTACCATTTATTGGCAATATAGTGTGAAACTGGCGCTGAATCGTCATAGACGACAGGAAGGGGCGGGGGGCGGACGTCACACAATGACAGTTACATGTGTGATGGAGGGAGGCTATCACGTGATTCAACCGGCCCGGAAATAGAACGACCATTTGAGAAAATCGACATTTCCCGATGGCCAGCACGCCCCTGGTAATCACCCATACAGAGTACTGTCTCGCAATTGTGATCAAAACATTTAAACCTGAAATATTGTTCAAAAATACAAACTACCCGAGAATAAGGCTTAAGTTTCACTCAAATATAAAACTTTTGCCTTATAATAGTTCAGGATTTTTAGTTTTTGTTTTTGTTTTGGGTGACTTCCGTTATTTTAAATTCATTTAGTTTGCATGAATTTTTTGAGCAGGTTTCTTCATTTTTCTTTTACAAAAATACTTCATTTTAGTTTTAGAATTTGTTAGGTGTTTTTTTTTTTTAAATACATTTTTTGATAGCATTAAAGGGGTCACTAAGTATTCGGTAATAAACTACCATTCCCAAATGACAGTTTGACCTTCCTTCTTCTGTACATCAATACAGAAATAAATGCATTTAAAATGAACCCCGAAAGCCCATGTGTATATTACCGGTAATTGACAAAGACAAGAATGAAGAACAATTTTTCTAAAACACTAGTTATTAGTTTCATGAACGTAACATGTAGTTTCAGTTACTTTTTTTTTTTAAGCTTTTTTTTTTCGTTGAGTTACTCCTCATTTCTATAATAACCTTGGTAACGACGTTTTACATTCATACATACAACTACATGTTTTTCTAAAAATTGGCTGTAACACAAGGTGGATCAGTTATGACATGTTCACTGTTACTTGACACAAAAATATGCTCCACTTGCACTTTCTGAATTTCCATCTATCCTAAAGTCAACGTTATTGTTTTTTTTTTTTCCTTTTAGACAACAAGTCCCTGAGCGAAACCAGAAGAAGAAGAAGAAGATGAAATGGAGGGCAGAACGATCGACGGGTTCTCACAGGTTCCGCTGCGTCATATTGTGACCTCTTTCCTCCACAATCAATTCCCACATAACCCACACAAATACCTTTTTTGGTTGTCAGGGAACTAACTACCCAGTAGTCCATGACTCCTGGCGCACAAAAAAAAAAGGGAGACAATTGGGAGGAGGTCTTTTGCCTCCATTTTCCCATGAAGGATTTTAATATCCCCCTGTTAATACTAAACCAGGAGTACTGATGTGTTTATTTGGTGTCATCTTTACTGTGTTCTCCAATGTGAAAGAAGGAAAGAAAACAAAGATGGCCCAAAATCACATGGCCAAAAAAAAAAAGGGAAGATCTGTTTGTGATTTTACCAGTCATCACCCGCCATCCCGGAGGAGAAGAGCACCTGTTGGGGGTTGGTGGTTTTTGATTCTGTAGACGTCAGTGTGGAAAGAAATGGAAAATGATGAAACATGAACAAATGGTTGTTTTGGGACGTCGTCGAAGGGTGACGGAAGGACGTGCCGCAATGAGCGGAGAAAAGCGTAGTGTTTTACCCGTGAACTTTGTATCGTGTACGATAACATTGAAATATTGTCATTGGAAATGGAAGGTTGCTCCAATCCACGTGTTGATGCCAAAAACGGTTCAGGCCGACAACTCAAAAAGAAAATCTTTTCTCAAAAGGGAAAGTGACGGGATATCATTACAAAACTTTGAAAATGTATCCATGCCACGTAGAAAAGGAAAAAAAAAGTTCAATTATGGGGGGAAGTCATTAAGTTATGAGAATCACGTAGTAATGAGAACAGAAGAACCCAACAAAATGTATACAAAGGCCAAAAGCATTTACAATGATGGTTTAAGTTCCTTAATTCACTCTCAAAAACACTTCTTTTCTTTGTATGAGTTTTGGAAAATAATTTTTCAATACATAATTTTCTCTTTTAACATTTCTCGTTCCTGTATTTATTACTTTATTAAATTATATATATTTTTTCCTCATATTACAACTCATCCTCATAAAATCAACTTTTTGCCATATGATTTTTTTAATTGAGCTCGTTTTTCAAACTGCTTTTATTTTTTTGTAAAATTGACATCTTGTAATACTTTACTCTCCGAAAATATTTACTTTACACTTTGTAATATCACAACTTAACAAATGACATTTTCAATAATATGATTTTTTTTTCCATGATATTCAAACTTTAGTCTCATAAATGTATTTTTTAAAACTTTTTACCCCAAATATTACAACTGTATTCTTAAAATTACGATTTGCAATATTCAAGGAATATTACCGTAAACATTTTTTAACCCGTTAAATCAGATTACAGTTTTGTAAACATGCGACTGTTCTCATAATATTACATTCGTGTCAGACAATATGTATTTTTTTTCTGTAAGATATGTCCGTATGTAAAAAAAAAAAAAAAAAACTTAAACGTAAGCATTTTTTGTGTAATTTGACTTTATGTGCATCTTTTTGTAAAATTATTTCCCATTTTTTAAAAATCTCATTAACTTTTTTCTTTAAAATATTGTTTTTGTCACCGTCATCACTAACCTAAAATTATGACTAAGTAGTAAAATCATTGTGCTTTTCCCTCATCATACTCAAATGTTATTTTTTGTAACATTTCCACCTTATTCTCCAAAAGATTGTGACTTTATATCTAGCGTCTGTAAAAAAAAAAAAAAATTCCCTCTCTCTCTCTCACTGTGGTCCCAGTAATACTTCTTGGTAGATCATTTCTATTGTGAATAGAAAATTCACCATCTAATTTTTGGGTGTTTCTTCACAATGAATGTGAATACAAGTTATGATCTTAACATTGGTGGTGGACGCTTGAAATGCCAAACTAATGTGATCTGACTTTTCTGTTGTCATGTGGGAGCTTTGCAAACCAATGAATTCAGGTTCATCTTCTAAGACCAATCACGCTCAGCGAAGGGACAGCACATGTTGAAATTGGAGCCCTGCGACTAGTACGATGAGATTTTTAAAAGGCTATACCTCCATGAGGCAATATGACGTCAAAATACGACAATTATTTTACTTTAGCAGTGAAACATTCAAGGACAGGTTGAAGGGGAATGTACAATTTAATAACCTATGAAATGGCTTGTACTGTTAACGCATTATAACAAACCATTTTGGCAACTGATTGTCTGAATGAATTTTGTCTATCAAAGGAATACATTTTTGCACTTTCAATGTGACATCGGACTTTCCTATCAGCATACGAGAAATTAAATGGTCCAAACGGTTTGGAAGATGTATTTTAGAAGAAGGAAAAAAAAAGAAGCATTCGTATTGTAGCTCCGTCCGTGTCTGGGGTATGCCTGTTGTATTCGTAAAGGCTGGGAATGAGACCAAATGTGTACTTGAGGTATTCAAAGGGAAACAAAAACAAAGTGAATGGCACGCAGTCACCTCGGAATAAAACAGTCTTGATCAACATTGGACATTAAAGGGACGTGACAAAGACTGAAAAAGGAAGCCAGTCACTCTTAAAATTGAATGTGTGTCGTGACAATGTTGCATTATGAAAGTTTGATACCATTTTGTATTATTGATATGAAAATGTGTGTGCGTGTTTTTTTTTTCTAACAATAATTTATTGATGTTTGATACCTCAGTGTGTCCTAGAACTGGACAAGAAAAAAAAACATCCCCTAACCTTATTTTCTTTCTTTTTATGGGACTTCAAAATGGGTTCTAGGCTTTTTGAGCTCAACAGCCACGTGAAAAGGTTTATCTTGTCAATATTATATTTATTTGCCGCGAGAGGATCAAATCCAAGAGTAAATGCGATTTGGATGATCACATCAATACAGTATTTGTCTGTCTGAGCTAGCAGATCGTTAGCTTAGCTTGGCAGCAAAGCTAGCAACTGTTTAATTTCCAAAATTCAAATTATCAGCCACCAAAAAGGATGTATGGCCTGCTCACTAAAATGTGACTAAGTATCCTTTGCTATGCCAAGTTACGTTTGCCTTTCGAGCCCTAATGCTATGCTAAACAACTGCTTCCTGCTCATATATTATTTTAAGCAACTACTTTTCCCGCTGTTATGCTAAGCTAACTACTTCTGGTCCTTGTATGCATATTTAGTCCTTGTGCTATGATTTCTTTTTTTTTTTTAAACTCCTCAATACTAAGCAACTGTTTCCGTCTCTTATGTTAAGTGAAGCAAATCTTTCTCGCCACTGCATTACGTTACGCTAGTGTTGTTTTTTTGCTTTTGTAAGATCAAATGTTACTCTAAACAACTGTTTCTTGCTTATAATGTTAAGGAACTACTTTAAGCCCTTATGCTATGCTATCTGCTTAACCATTTCTAATATCAGCAAGTATTTTTTGTTTGTTTGTTTGTTTGTTTTTTGGGGGTCGGGGGTGCTAATAATGTGCCAAGCAATTGTTTCTGGCCCCTATGCTAAGTGAAGAAATTATTCCCAGCATTTATACTATGCTAATATTTTTTTTAAATAACTCTAATGCCACTCTTCAACTAAATAACCTTTTCCTGTTCTTATACTATGTTAAGAACGTATTTTCTGCCTTTATTTAAGCTCAGCAACTGTTTTTTGTTTGTATTTTGAGTTATAATGCTACCCTAGCATTTCTTACCCCTATTGTTAAATAATTCACTGCCATTAACGAATATACTCATCAATTAGGTTTTTCCAACTGGTGGGAGAGGGTCTGATGCTGCTCCACTGCAAATATCAAGCTTGGAGCAACTTTACTGACACACAGCTGCCAGTAGATGGCAGCGATGTATCATTTTAGATTTGACCTCAGCCCAGTTTGTGAGTACGCATCAGATATTATGACAAAATGGCTCGCACAGGTCGTAAGTTAGAGCAGGTCAAATTTCGGCAGACACTAGAACAGATATTTTACATAGACAGTATTCACATTAGCAGAGGTTTATGTGTCATGAATATGACAAAAGTACAACAAAGATCTTGAATATATAAACAGGATTACAGATGCCATGTAAGGAGCCGGTAAATACAAGCCCAACACTGACGTGCCATCTGGTGAATTAGCATCACTCACGCAGCATATATATTTTGGTAAATACATGATTATTTTGCTGTCAAAAGCCATTCCTAAATGTTTATATTGCTGGTTTATAGAATAAAACAATGCTGTGGGTCTTGAAATATCAGCCAAATTATTCCAAAATGGCCGGCAGTGAATGAGTTTTGAAGTGTTTTTTGTTTTTGTTTTGTTTTATGATGCTATCCTAAGACACTGTTTTTTGACCTTAATCTCTTTTTCGTTTGCCCTAGTGTTGTACAATTTTTTTTCCTGCTCCTAATGTTGAGTGAAGCAACTGTTTCAAACCATTGTGCTATGCTCAGCAGCGGTTTCCTTTCCTCTTTTTATTTATTTACCTACTTACTGACTTTAATGCTACCCTTATGTTATGATCACTGTTTCTAGCCCTTTTGCGAAGCCAAGCAGCTCATCCTACTCTAATTCTATGCTAGTAACATGTTTCTGGAGCTTATGTTGACCTTAGGTACAGTTTTTCCCCCTTGTGCTATGATAAAAACACCTGTTTTTCGAAGCAACTGTTATTTTTATTTTTAGCTCTAATTTCACATTGATGTTGCGCTGAACAACTGTTCCTTGGCTCATGCTATGCCAAGCAGCTGTTTCTAACTCGATGCTATCAAACTGTTTCTGGACCTTTTGGTGAGCTAAAGTAGGCTACAATTTGTAACACTTCTGCTACAAAAACAAAACATTGTTGCCCAAATGCTGAGCTAAGCAATCATTTCTAGCCTTGGTGCTAAATGAAGCAACTGTTTGGAGCCATTTTGCTGTGCTAAGCAACTGTTTTGGTCAAGTAACTAACTAACCATTTCTTGAGCTAATGCAATGCTACGGTGCAATTTCTCAGCAGAATGCTATGCCAACCTTACTCCCCCCATCAACCGCCTTATGCTTTTATAAAACCAAACTATTATGGAGCATCAGAAAAGTATACGGAGTGCTTGCTTTTTCCCCACATTTTGTGTAACGTCATAAATTGGTTCCTCCTACACCCTATAATGACAACATGGAGCGTTTTTGACCAGTTATTGGAAAAAAAAAATCACCTGTATTTTTGATGGAAAAAAAAATAAGTGCATAACTAAAATAATGAAATGTGTGAAGAGTGCTGTAAGCTTTCTCAGTGCACTGTAACAAGTGTTTTATTTTTGACCCTTTTCTCATTGCATTTTAGCTGTTACAAAAAAAAAAGAAAATCTGCTGTTTGTTAATGAATGTCTGGCCAGACCAAATACAAAACGCTGAAGGTGAATAAAGTGTCGTCAAAACCCTGAATGTTATGTGAGTTAAATCAAGCACTTTGGTGTTCCATATTTTGAAACATATTTGACAAATAAAGCTTTTTTTTCGGGGGGGGGGTGTCTCCTAAACCAGTGTCATTTTGTAAAGGCCCGTCGTCATGTTTTACATTTGGGAGTTGTGACACTGTGTAGTTGTAAATGTTTTTTTTTTTTTTTGTACAGATCATTTGGTCTTCTGACTGAGGAGCTAGTCGAGGTGCAAATTGTGCCTTTTAATCTAGCCTCAGGGGGCCATTACAATAAAAATATTATGACTCAACACTGACTCCATTATTTTATTTCATCCCCCGTGTTGAATTAACCTGCATCAGCTCTTGTCTCACTTCAGATACTGTACATTTGGTTTAGCGAACAGATGTGAACATTGGGAATACTGACCGCATTCATGTAAATGCTGAATTGTAAAATTAACACTTCTAAAAGGATGAGATACAACTGTATCATACTTAGAACTTAAATAACTGTGCTGAACAAATGTACTGCACGTTTTCAAAAAATGTTGAAGACACAAACTTGATGATGAACAGGTTGAACCTTTAATACAATAATCCATTTGTGGTCCACATAGCACACTTTGAGAATCACTGTCAATATAAATGTGTTGGGGGGTTTTTCAGGATGCAAATTTCTAATTTTGATATGAAAAAACATTTTTATTGTTTCTTTTGTAACATTCAGATTTCTACAGCTGGTGGATCTGGGGTTTTTGTGAACTGTTAAATCTAGTCAGCAAATAGAAAATTAAATCATTAAATAGTTGACTCTGTGTAAATTAATTTTTATCTCACAAAAAAAACATGTTAATAAAAAGGGAACAAAAATTTAGATGGAATGCAAAAAATAATAATAATCGCAATTCATTTAATTGAGGTGTCAATCAAAAGCCACACATGTGATATGTTAAAACAGTTAGTGTGCTTGTATAAATAAAGATATATTGCATTTAGCAATATTACAAATACTGCACATTGTGAAATTTGCTTTTACATCAGGAAGCATCTTAAGTATACAATAAATCCTTTTCATTGTTCATTTTTGGATAAATACAAATGATGCTTTATTTCTCTATTGAAAATCGATTGTTCTCTTCTTGTCGACTGCATTTTCTATGGCGACATGCTAAAAATATTCAGAGGGGTGAATTCAGTCGTAGACATTTGAAATATATGACGAATGATTTAAATTGTGGAGGTGAGTGTGATCGGTGCGATACATGATGGTGCATTCATGACATTGACTCCCTCAAATTCATTTTGTGTGTTGGAAAAATAATGAAGTGCATAAATCTAAAGATACAATGTAACACGAGCAAAAAGACATTCTATACTTGATGCATCTGAAATGTCAAACACTTGGAATTGCACACAGTGAGGGGGGAGAAAAAAAGTGCTAGATTTTGTTCATTTGCATAAGCACATTAGTAGTTCATGAACCGACAGCAACAAAGGCTACAACACACACAAAACAATGCAACCGAATTGCATGAAATGTGTTCGACCCACAGTTAATAGAATCATCATTAATTAAAACCTGAAGACGATTATACAGCATGAAAGATTTCCCTTTTTAAATACTTGTAGCTTTATCCGCTGCTTATTCCCCAAGGAAGCGTCTCAATTAATTTGACTGCGGAAAAGACAGTTTCAGTAGTTCAATCCAAAAAAATGCACCTCAAAAATTCACCAGTGCAAGGAATTACGATATTACATTAAAAATATTGTTCGTTAAGAAATGATGTAGGACTTCTGTAGGCATTCTGAAAATATGTTCCAATTTTGGGTTGAATGAGTCTTTGAAAGGAAAGTTTCCCTTTTGTGACGTGAACTACTGAAATCATTTCATTAAGATGCGCCTACGAATATATCATCGCTGTTGGACGGAAAACTTGCATGTTCAAACATGGTCAGTTGCATATTTTATCACAAATCTATACTATTGGCCCCTGTGCCCATGTCATCTGTTATTTGTATTTTTTTTTAATGAATTATTAACCAATTCAGAGTGTTGAAAATAGCTTGCGAACAAATCTACTGAACTCAACTCTACCTCTTCCTTCACTCTGCGGGAGCCGAGAGGCCTTAGATCGCGTTTTATTTGACAATCGATTGAAAATACTTCGGGTTAAATATGTTTGGGCAAGCCTCGTTTGTTAAAAACGGGGAGCTGTAATGCTTTGTGTCCCGAGAAACTGGTCAGCCACAAAGTTAACTGCGCGTAGATTCATTTCCACCTCTGAAATGACTTAGTCAGCTTCCCATTTTATGTATTGTATTACTTGTGGCTCTAAAACCTTTGAGAAAGATTGAAACCATCGTCGCTTTTTGTCTGGTCGCCTGTAGACCTGATTGCGGATGGCTGCCATATGGTGACATGTCCTACCGTTTTTAATCGATGACAGCGTCATAAGTTAGCAATGATTTGAAGAATTAAATTAGCAATTAAACATGATGTTAGGGTAATGTGGTGTTTATGTTAGTCCAAGTAGAGCAATGTTTTTTTTTTGTTGTTTTTTTGTTTTACTTTTTTAAAAGTAGTGATGTGGAGATGTGGGAATTCTGCCCAACAGCGGTGATATGGTATTTCTCAATATACTTTATGGGTCGAGTAGAAATTAACGTCCAGCTTGCAACCAATGAAATGCTTTAAAAAAAAAAGTTGACTGCTACAACATCCACAAAAAAGCAAATAGTCTGTAGTAATGGTGTTTTTTGTTTTTCTCCCATCCAAAAAAAATAAAATAAAAAATACAATCGAGAATGTAACATCGGTATGAACATTTTGCAGTATAAGTACTTGAAATCCCTGAGGCATTTGTGCGTGTAGGTGATCCAACAAGAGCTACAATAAGATCTCATTGTTTTAAAAATGAATTCAAGTTAAGAAAGTCCAGTGAGAAGTGTGGAAACATACTTGGTAGTAGTACTAGGATGGAAGGACCGAATGGTAGCTTGAAGCGGGGTTTCAGTCAATCCTGCTCACTGCTAAATCGGTGACTCCAACTGGATCTGCATGTAACACGCCTGCCACACATACCAACGTCAAATTTATTATGCATATTCTTAAATATGTTCCCGTCCACTCATCCGATGTGAAATGAAACAACCAGGTATCTATTCTCCCATTATTTTACAGATTTATAAATTCTTATCGAGGCCGTGAGCAGTCCCCAAAGCACTACTTTAAAGCTCCTCCTCTGACTTGAGCAGTTACATGAAACCAAAATGGCGCCGAAACACTACTTTTCCATGACATAGAGCTTTGGCGACATCTTGACTCATGTTTTCTGGGTGTGGTCACGGATGTTATTCAATGTGAGGCTGAGGGCATTTTGACATCAGTTTCAGTCGACACCAGCAGAGGGCGGTACAGGACAAAATGGCAATGCCCTGATATTGATGAAATTATTTCACAAATGCAAGATAGTGAGTTGAGACTAGCGGGGCACATCGACCGAGGGAATGTTTGCATTGAGTTGTGCTTGAAGCTGTTGCCTTGCGAGGGAAAGGCTTCAAAAGCAGCCTTGCAGTCTTCTGCATACCTATTAAGCTAATTTTAAGACTCAAACCCTCAACACTGAATTCGGAATGCTATTTCCAGAGCAGTAGAACAAAAAGAAGTGGCGGTTGCTCACCTTCAAGGTGGTGAACATTAGTCCCAGCTCTCCATGTTGAATGTTCGGATCCATCAAGTCTTCGATCAAACTCACTTCAGCTCCCAGGTTTCTGATTCTAAGCAACATAATCCAGTGGTACGATGAAGCACATTTTCCATATTGAACTGAACGAAAATGATCACATAAATGTGTTCGAGCCCCCCTTTCAAGGTTATCTTATCTTAAAAACCACCACAATTTATGTTACATGTTTCTCATAAAGAAAAAGAGTGCTGTAAAGTGGTGCCTTGAGATCCAGGTAACTTAGCTTAGTGGTTTTTCAAGATACGAGCCTTCACTTGGCATCTTTTTTGGTGTTTAGATGTGAGCCGCAGGAAATTTCACAAAAGTTACGTTCGCCTCCGACTCAAATTGGTTTTCTTGCGGCGGAAGGAAAAGTGGCGGTAAAGCACCATTGAGCAGGTTGGCCAACCACCAATAAAAAAAGCACAGAGAAGAAGAATATAAAAGGAAGGACAATACATTAAGTTCAGTCACGTGTTGTGGTCATATTTTCTTTTTTTGTTGTTTTTTTTCTGAAAATGCGGAGAGCAAATCTTAGGACCGTTTTCTTTCAAAAAATACACACACAAAATGTGTGTTTTTGTTCCCATTCAATTAATGGCTGACACTGCATCAGCAACTGTGGTTCTCCTTGCCCACATGAAATGGCATCACCGTACCTTATCTGATCTGATAATTAGAAAACACACCAAGAACTATCCACGGCATATTGTGTGTGCGTGTGTGTGTGCGTGTGTGTGTGTGGGGGAGTGCGCACCTCGCCCTGAGCACAATGTAGAGGAAGAGAGGGAGCAGGTCGTCCATGCACCACAGGAAGTCACCGTCCTGCATGGGTTTGATTTCCTGGGTCAGCTCCTCAAAAGTGTTCTGAATGACCAGGAGTTTATCCGAGGGAGTGAACGTGGTGCTGCGAGTGTGTTGGGGACATAAAGTACCAATTAGCATCTATGCATGTGAACATTTGCGACATTTAAAGGGGCAAATAAAAGCTACCTGATTTGTTGGAGTGTCTCGACAGCGCTACCGAAGCTGACGTCTTTACTGCTGGATACAATCTGTCCCGGAGCAGTAAGAGAAAAATTGACAAGGGTTCATGATTGTGTACACAGCAAAGGTGTCCGCAGACGCCCTGTCAAAACAGGCTCATTTTTTGAAAGACAAATCCATGTGATAAAGACAACAAAAAAGTGAATGGAATTGCGACGGCCATTTTGTCATCTCATGTCTCCTTTCTGACTGAATATCAGAGGTGATTAGAATCGCCTCATGACAACCAACTGACCTCTTTTTTCTCCCCGAGAACAGACATCCACTTTGGCCAGAACTTTCTGTAAGTTATTAAGAAAAAGACAATCACACAATGTGTTGCATGGACGTGCACTGCTAATAAGATCCAATAAAAGAAGTGTCACAGTTTCGTTAATTTAGCTATATGTGTATTATCATCTTTCACGTTTAGTTTCAATCCTGTTAGCCCTTTGCGGCTTTGGTAAATTACACATTTACGTACAACATAAGTACGCAAAAGCATTTTTGTTACAGTAACAGAAGTGCCGGAAAGCAAACAAAAAATAACACGGGGGAAGTAGAAATAAAAAGAACATATTTGTTTTATGCTTCATACCCTTTGTCTTTACCTAACATAGGAACGTGTAAGTCGGTTGTTGTGAATGAACTTCTGTACAACTGTTACAATTTCCTTCACTAAATCAGCTCTATATTTTACAATTTCGCAACACTTTCAAATTTTGTCAGCAAACTCTTTGTGAACAATGCTACAAAATTATTCGAAAAAGCCCGTAGTACAATACAGTGAAGTTTTACAACGCGACAATGTTCCCTTTTTAGTCAATATTCATATTACTGCAGTTATAAAGGCATTGTACGTATTCTTGTCATCAGCAGAGTCGCAACCCACGAGTTCATATTGTAGGTTGCCACCAATATGACCAGTGACTTCAAGCTAAGCACTCACTGCCGAACGCCCAGGAAGCTGAGCAGGGACTGGTCGGGCTGCTTGTTGAGTCGGATGATGCGCTCCCAGTACTGAGCCTCCTGCTGTTCGTCGTGGAGGCAGTACAACATGAAGAGAGGTTGATAGAGTTGAGGGAGCAGCAGTGGGAGGAGCAGAGTGGAGCAGCTCACAACAGAGACAAAGCTGAGGGAAGAGAATCAGGAGTCATGGATTCGCACAAACACGTTAAGAATATCGGGGCGCATGCCTCAACATAACACAGCTACTCTTCTTTAGCTGCAAACTTGTATCAATGAACCCACTTGGACAGCACATTAGCCTCTAAATGAAAAACGTTTGGTGAGATATATTGCTGGAATCAGCTGTCACACTGTCATATGCGCCTGCCTTCTCGGACATCGTGAACACACACCTTGGCTCTTCGGAATATGAGCTGTATCTGATTCTACATGGAGAAACGGGAGTATCTGGTAGAACGCTGCCATCTTCTGGTAAGCCAGGAAACAGGAACCTGAAATACAAAAGCAGTGTCATGATGTACACAGTGAAACCTCTGAAGTTGTACAAAATCTGTTGTGTGAGAATCAAAGGTAAATACAGTAAAGTCAAACAATATGTTCTCGGCTCAAACTGCTGCCAACGTAAAGCCTCGTCCGTCATTATGACCCGCACTAAAAGACAGTAGTGTAGTATGCCCAAATACATACTATACTCAATATTACTGCAAGCCAACGTAGCATTACACACAGCTTGAACATCAAACTGCCCATACGTCTAGGAAAATGAATATAAAATGCAAAAACGGATTCAACAGAGATGTCTTACACATAAACTTAAATAACAATTGCCCCTCAATAAATATTTGAAAGCAAAGCATTATAAAAGACTGAACAGCAATGTATTGTACTTCAACGTTAATTACAACTGACCAGTACTCAAATATACTGTACTGGATAAAAATAAGATGAATGAAGTCTGTGATTATATTATCTACCACTAGAGGGAGCCCGCGTACCACACTTTGAGAACCACTGCTTTATGATAAAAACTAAAACGAAGGAGAAAAACTCACTGTGTCTCTACCCATAAAACATGAAAAAGCTAAAGAAAAGAAAAAAACATTTCCAGAGCAGGTGGGAGGCAAAATACGATAATTAATGGCGCTACCTGATAATGGAGTAGAAGTGTTTGATGTAGGCCTGCACCTCCTTCACAGCTTCCCTGAGCAGCCTGTGGTTTGACTCCACACCCAGGTAGGTCATCCTGTAGACGGTCACCAGCGTCTCCACCAGCCAGCCCAGAGGGTGGAATGGGGTCTCACATGCCTATAATGTACACAAAAAGCTCTTTAAAAAAAAAATGCATGCACACGTGCACAAGCACACCCGTGTACACAATTAAAACACCTTAGTGAGGTATTTTCGTATGTTGTCATAATTTGTGGTGGTGACTGCATCTACGTGGTGAGGAATACACTCCAAACACTCCAGCACTTTACTCTGAGACCTGCTCAGGTCCGGGCTACAGAGACACACAGAAAAAAAGAAATATCACGAGAAGTTCAAGTACTACAACAACATTTGAAGTTGTGTGTAAGTATTGTAAATCAACCTGTGTCGTCGAGCACTTGAAATAGAAACGGCAATGTTCTCCCAGGCCACTGTCCTCTCCCCTCTGCCGGGAATGTCACAGCCCAGCCGCCTCCAGCTTTCGTCGAAAACACACACCCACCTCTCTTCTGCAGCCACCACATACTGACCCAACCGCCTATGCATGCACAAAAAAAAAAAACCAAACAAAAAAACATTCAGTACTTTTATTTATAAATTGCAACCGTTGTTTTTAGTATATTGTCCATTTATTACATTGCAATACGACAATTGAATATTAAAACGTAGGCTATTTAATTTATTTAATGTATTGAATTACTCATTGTCTGGTATAAAACCTTTATTTATGCTTATGGTGAAAGAGCTACTTGGAAATGCATTACTGCCACCAAGTGGCCTGAAGACGCCATGCTCCTATTTGGTCTCCAGCTCTCCAGTTCAAATGAGACAATGAGAAGCATGAATGTAGTCCTCCTAGTCTGTGCCAAAATTTGACAAAGCTTTACAAGACATGACAATCATATTAGCATATTTAAACATCAAAATCTACTGGTCGGTTTATGTCTTTGATTTCTCTTAAGTTTCAATGTGCAATAGAACTATATTGGTGCCCTCAGATACAATTGACCCAAATTCCGAAGTTTTATGTGATACAAGTCATTGTCCAGTCGATTTTTTGTTTTCACTTGCGGAAAAAGATTCAGGTTTCAAGATGGTGGCAGTGAACTCAGCTCAACTGACTTCACAACGTGAACATCTTCTTCTTCTTCTTCTCCTTTCGGCACATCCCTATTTAGGGGTCGCCACAGCGAGTCAGTAATTTCCATCCGCCCCTGTAAACCGTCCTACCAACTCGCTGAACATCAAAAAAAAAAAATATATATATATATATAAATAAAGGTACAATATCAAAAAGTGCTTTTTTTTTTCTCCTTTGCAAAAACACATTACAAAAATTATTGTTTTTGGGAGGATGGAACAAATGAATGGCACTTCCATTCATTTCAATGGAGAAAGATGATTTGAGATGACAGAGACTGGCTGATACTTCATACATTGAATATAATAAAAATCATAACAAAACACTCACATTAAGTTTTTTCTATCCTTGTCTTCAATCTCATCAGTTGATAGTTTGCTGTAAATTCCGTCCACTTTGAGACCTGTGCTCCACTCCCCACTGAAGTGACCTTCCAAAGTGTCACCATTTGCGAGGGACAAAACACCCTGACAGAAAGAGAATGACGATGATTAGATTCCAGTCACACCTCTGGAATTAATTGACAAGCACCTGTCAAAAATCCCACCAAGGTAGTGCAAGTGTTTGACAAATGAAAGCGATGTTTTCTACCTTCCCGTTGGCGGTCCAGTCTTCTGAAAACTCCCCATGGAAAGCCGTGTCATCATCTGATACCAACAAACCGGGACCCTGAGAGAACACCCGCATCATCAAAACGATGCATTTGTCAAGAGTAAAGTGAGTCCAATCGGACACTTACACTCATCTTGTTTTCCCTGAAGTTCCCTTCGTAGTAAACACCATACTGAGTCACGACCACGGCACTCCCGTGCCTGTCATCATCCAGCCACATACCCATGTACTTCTCACCCCTGACGTCAAGACAACAACTACTAATGGGATTCATACGTGGTTGAAGGAGCACTTAAAAATGTAAAGCCAAGCTATAAAGGAGTTTCAAAGCTGTACTTGTATGATAAAAGATGTACCAAACAAAGACATGCACAGGTATTTACAGTTGTGTTCAGTATAATAGCAGTTTGTGTACAGTGGCAAAAAAACAGTTTCTGAGGTGAAACCAAGAAATACAGAAAAATTGTGGAATTTACTCCAATCACCCTGAACTGAAATGCCAGTTCACAGATGCCATAAATCAGGGGTGTCAAACTCAATTTTGTCGTGGGCCACATTGGAGTTACTGTTTCCCTTCAAGGGCCATTATGACTGAAACCAAACAAAAAAGTCAATAATAACGATTTATTATTTGTGACTGTAATGAGGGGTTTGGTTACAAGAAAAAGCTTACAATATGTCTCTTATTCATTACATATGAGAATTTCAAATGTTGGTATAGATTTTAGCATGCATCATGCAAGTTGACATGCTTGATTTGCTACCGCGGGCCACATAAAATGACGTGGTGGGCCGGATCTGGCCCCCGGGCCTTGAGTTTGAAACCTGTGCCATAAATCATGGAGTTTGACTATTTTTTTTTTTTAAACACGCAATTATTCTGAACACACTCCTTTGTCTTGTGTCATACAAGACTAGTGACTGACTAGTGACCACTGACTCCCAATTATTTATGACGTGTCAAGTTTGTATCCATTGCTGTCTCCGACAGCTGGTATGAAAATGTCAAGACGGGGAGCTGCACATCAGACCTGGTGATGTCGTCAGAGACTCCATATCCAGTCTTCTTGTCACAGACCCACTGGCCGATGAACACACCCGACGACGTCTTGTCCATCTTGCCTGAGCGCAGCATGCCATAGCCGTGGCGCTGGCCGTCATTGAAGCAACCCTCGTATACCTCACCAGTAGCATACCTGAAAAAGTCAGTGGAAACACATTTAACAGCATTAAACAAGAAGCAACACAAACACGCAGCTTTTTTTATTTTTATTGACCTGTAAACAAGCAATTAAAAGAGTGCTAATGGAGAATCGCCAACATGCCTTTTAAATAGAAACCAGGAAACTGACCTGTAGATGCCAAAGCCATGTATCTTGCCATCTCGCCACTGTCCCTGATAGCAACCTGCTTTATTCAGCAGTTTGTCAGGAATCATGCATTCGCCATAGCTGGAGGGACAAATGGCGGGTTGTTAGAGAAACCTACAGAGTCATTTCACACTAGTTCAACACGCTTGTAATGTACTTACCCATCCTCCAGTCCATTTTTAAAGTTCCCCGTGTAGATACGTCCATCCTGCCATCTCATTGTTCCTCTGTAAGTGCACAATATATTGAAAAAGAAGAGAAAAAAAAAAAGTAAATCCTCGATTTAGGGCCATATCAGTTGTTTTCCAGGAAGACGCGCATGCGCCACAACAGGCATCCTCGCTTATAACGCAGCTATTTGAGATACGTGACGGGGACATTTCAAATGAAATTTGACAGTCAAAAGAAAAATGGATACGACATTAAATCAGAATTGCATCACCTGAACGTGCGTCCATTCGTTTTCAAAACAATGGAGCGTAGCTTTAGTTTACAAGCCTTTGCACCCCCGCAGCTCAGTGTCTCAAACAAACATACAGATGCACCACAGACAAGATTTTCTGACGAGGCATGAGCCCATCGCCGGTTTGACGATTTACGGCGGTTTTAACCAGAATTTCCTTATTTATTCATTTATTTACACTTATCATGGTACACGTCTCTTAATGTATCAAAGATAAATGTTTTTTTGTTTTAAAATAAAACAGATTGTGTTCAATGGAAAGTAAAGCATTCACCCAAATATTTTTTTAAAAACCTCTCATTTCAATATCGTGACACTGCAATATTTTTGCTCAAGGTTATCATACCGTCAAAATCTAATATCGGCCCATTCCGATCTCTGACCTGCCATGAACTCGTCCAGCTAGCCAGCTCCCAGTATACTGAGCATCCTTGAATCGTCCGTCTCCCATGAAAGTATAGGAGGCCGTGCGGGACATTGCTGTTATTCCTGGCGATGAACCCTGACCTCCACCACTCAGCACCCGGTCCACCTCTTGATTAAGAAAATGCAGCCACTTGTTCTACACGGTGAGTGGAAAAACAACCCCCCCAAAACTTGTTGAGTGACAGATAGTCATACGAGACAAAGGTTTATTTTTAAACCTTGCTTGGGAGTGAAAGAGCCTTTTAAAGATGAGCCTGAGCATGAACTGAATACTGTGTACTACTTACTTTGTACAAAGTCATTTGCAAACATACAAAAGCAAATTTATGAGGATATAGCGTACCAACATGAACACTATAAATGTGTGCTAGTTTACAAGTTGACTCATATTGTGAGAGTGACGTTTACTGCCAGTGAGTTACAAAGCTCATTTATCAATGGCTGCATCAACGGTGTTATTTATTCCATTGAGACGCTCTTAATAATATTAAAACACTTTGAAAAAAAAAAATGCATACCTTCTCTTGTGGTGTTGAGGCCACCAGGATGAACGTCTCTTCTGGACATGACATTTTGATGGCATAGCTGGAGACACATGGAAGAAAACATGACAGGACTTTTTGCTTCTGCTGTTGTGTGTTTATTTTCACTGCTTGTTTCGCTGCAAACTTAAACATGGGCACACAGGAGGAGACACGCAGAGGTTCTAATTATGGTTGTGGCGATATTGGCTTTTCATTGGACAGTGAGGATATGCTGGTTTTAAATGCGCTAAGCGGACCTACCATATAAACATATAAATTCAACACAAACTTACCATCCACTGTCGTTTTCAGGAAGTGGTTTAACCCACAAAAGGTTGACAGGGTAGACACGATGAGTGGAGAACTGGAAAGAGACGGATGGGTTGTTTGTCATCAATTCCTCCATTTTGTTTCCATTGTGATTTGAATTCTGTTTTATGATTACAAATGTCATGTTTTGGGACACAAAAAATATATATACAAAATATATCATTCATATCAACATTTTAAAAAGACCCACAAGACAAGGGAAAGTTTTCTCCAGGAATGAGAACAAGTAAACTGAACTAGTGAAATTTGCCAGCCACACCGCAGCAGTGAGTTTAAGAGCTTTGTGCTACAGTATTCAAAAACTTGCGTACATATAGTCACCTCGAATGCAAACACTCCAGGTTTGTCACCAGGGTGTCATGCACAATATAAATCTCAATCCAGGACGTATGAAATGTTAAATGTGAATTCAGGTTTAAACATGAACAATTTGTTTCACTTGCAACCAATTGCAAAATATTTGAATCCAAATATTTTGCTCCAATACAAAATTAACATTTATAGCTCGATGCAAATTGAAATTTCAATTTCAATTTCAATAGGCTTAGAATTAAAAAATCCAATGCATCAGAAAAATGTCTTCCCCTCTCATGTCGCTGATCAAGATTTTCCAGTATGCTGCCACACACTTCTAAGTGACCACAACCACACTGAAAAACAACGACACCACTATGACAGTGTCAATCGAAACCTCATATTATCGTTGCAAAGGCATACTTTTGCTATAACTCTTATTTCGGATATTATTAGAATGCGCAAATATACCTAATGTTATGATAAACAACTTTCAAAAATGTAGTGTTCTCCATCCATTTTATTTTTTAATAGTAAGCTATTCATTGAACATTACATACAGTCCTGTTTTAAGATGAATAACCCACATCCTGTGAGTGTTTGAAAAGTGTGAGTACTGCGCACAAACGGGCCTCCCCCCCATGCTGCTGTAGCACAGAGCTTGATGAACTGCTATCACGTAATACTTACGAGGCTCTTAGGAGGAGCGGCGCGCTGAATGGGTGAAAAGACAATGGAACGGATACATTGGATTGCATTAACATGTGTGACTGAGGCACCACGCTGGTTCAAAATCCACATCAAATAACACCACGACTGTAGTCCAAAGGGCATCACTCAACAATCTATGTTGGGACAGAGGTGTAGCTTGGGGGTTTTGTGAGCTGCAAGCTATAATCATCTAAATTCTACATATTTGAAAGATGTCAAATAAATCCAGTGGGTAGTGAGTCTCGATAATGTAGTATACGAGTGTGACTTTTTGATTTGGACAACTGAAATGTAGTAACTCTTATTTTACCACATTCCCTTGATCAATTATGGGAAAAATCAAATGGTTTCTTTCGCTGAATATTCAAAACACTTATGATATAGCGCTGTGCTCTTCTTGTTGACATAATGCATTGTGTGTTTTATCTTCTACTGAAAGCCTCATTTCGATATGTATGTATTAGAACAATGTGACCTACTGTAACTTTCTAATGCAGTGGTTCTCAGACCTCTTACACCAAGTACCACCATCATGGGACCAAGTGTTCATCAAAAACGAGACAGGTTTCGTTCCGAATTGCCACTAAAAGATGACGACAAATTCTACTTTTTTTTTTTAACAACTTCTTTCGATATGTATGTATTAGAACAATGTGACCTACTGCAACTTTCTAATGCAGTGGTTCTCAGACTTCTTACACCAAGTACCACCATCATAGGACCAAGTGTTCATCAAAAACGAGACAGGTTTCCTTCCGAATTGCCGCTAAAAGATGACGACAAATTCTACCCTTTTTTTTTTTTTTTAACTAACAACTTCTACAGCTTATATAGCACATGTATTGAACTTAGGCCGTGATTCATGACATACCGTCGAGCATAACCGGAACTAACATTTACTTATGATTGGAATGAAACCTACATTTGTGCAATAGGAGAGACAGGTTTCCTTCCGAATTCCCGCTAAAAGATGACGACAAATTCTACCCTTTTTTTTTTTTTTTAACTAACAACTTCTACAGCTTATATAGCACATGTATTGAACTTAGGCATTGATTCTTTCATGATATACCGTTGAGCATAACCGGAACTAACATTTACTCATGAGAGGAATGAAACCTACATTTGTGAAATAGGAACAGGGCCATGCCTACAGTACACTTCAGGAAACATTTCATCCCGCAAGGTGTCTAGGCTGCACGCCATTGACTTGTCACATAGTGTCTTTGCATGTGTACCTGTATGTGAACCAAGGCGTCGTTGAACAGTATGAACCAGTGGTTGGAGAAGCGGCCGGCGCCCTGCAGAGTCAGGGTTCTGTTGCTGCTTTCACATAAGACGCGACGCTGTGGGAGACGCAGACCCTCCTGAAAGAAACACACTCAAGCATGTGTGTGCATTCACAAGCGGCGAAGAGCTCAGCTGCCTGACGTTGTTGAAACTTCACTTCGGTTTCAGCTCACTTTTCCTCTGCCATTGTTCCTCTCTTAAGCATGTGTGTTCATTCAATTTGTGAATGCTAATGAGTTTAAAAAGTCAATAATGTTAATTTCACTTCAGGCGTGTGGCACCAGCGCACTAAAACTGGTTAACATATGTTGACAGTCACAACCTTTCAAGACTGCTTGTTTGAAGGAGGCTTTAACTGACACCTGAAAGTGAACACACTTAATTAATGAGCCCTTCTCTAACAGTGTCAATCAAATGTGATCATTATCTTTGAGTTGTTGACTGCCAGTCAACACTGTGAATTACAATATCATGCACAGGTGACCACTAAGTATAGGAAATTCTCAAGAGTTTTCTTTCAAAATGACAAAATGTAGTAGGTCACACAAAGTGGCAGGTTGCACTCACAGTGTTTTTCCCAGAGTGAGTCTTCCAGAAGAGGAAAGTGGCTTCAGCCTCCTTCTTTCTCCTCTGTAGTGTCACAGAGAGATGTTCGTATTGCACAGCACTCTGATGGAGGGACTGATACTCTGCTGTAAGCTAGGGGACAATAAAAAGGTACCCATTCATCACACCGACCCATTTGGCAGTGGCTTACGTATCAGAATGTTTACCACATGTGTATATATCGTATGTCTGACAGCCAAATAAACGGCTTCAGCCTCACCATGTCATAGCAAGATTCCAGTTGGAGCAGGACTCGACTGTACTGCTGGAGCTGCTGCAAAGGCCAGTACAACACCGAAGCCAGATCGCCATCACCGCTTACTGATGGGTCCAGTTCAGAAAGTTGAGCAAGTTTGGTCTGCTTAGAACCTAAACACTCTCTGGACAACATACACATTGAAACATGGAGAATCTATTACTGTGTTTTATGACAAGCCTGTATTGTCTTGAAATACAAACTGGGCGGGGGGGTAATCCGGACTAGCAGATCATTTAATGAGGCCCCCTAAACCAAATCAATTGTGGTTACTGTTTTTTTTTTTTTAAATGCCTTTTCAACATCAATGAAACAATAATCTCGATATCCACAAAACGTACATAATTTCTTGCCACTATTTTCCATGACCTACATATGATTTCAAATTCAATTTGTCATGAATAAAATACACAAAACAAATAAAAGGAGTTGAACACCCCTATCGTAATCACATAAAGAAAATTACAGTGAGAGTTTATGGAGCGACTGCAATCCACCCATGACCTGGAAGTCCCCCACAGCACTGCAATACCTAAACGGAAACAGAATTTAGGTATCTAGTCACTTCAACTCCACAATGTAATGACCACCTAGAATTTGACCTTACTCAGTATAGATGTCAAGGAAGTGCTGAGTGTGGGTGAGCAGGTGAAGGGAAGTGACATCTCGACGTAACACGTGCAGGAAATGGGTGAGCGACGTCGAGTGTTGACCGATGAGGATGCTCAGGCGAACGGACGTTTTATAGAAGGAGAGGAAGAGACGAGTGCAGGGCTCACCGAGGGATGGACGCGCCTTCTCTGTGGGGAAACGTGGGCACACACGTGAACACATTTTATACAACAGCATCGTCGTTAGTCTTGGCTTTTGAGGATGGTTGACGGTACACAATAGAGCGTCAGCATGATCCTGTTTCAGACAGTGTAGTTAGTCACTTGAATGTGGCTCATAACTGAGTTTAGCTGATCACTCATGTCATAGTTTAATTTTACTCACACACAAGGGTGGACAGTTTCCTCCAGAGACTAAACTATCTGTATGGAAGCAATTAAATGTATATTTTCCAAGTATGTCCTGTCTAAATGTGAACTTAGCCACCTGGTGAAAACATGCCGGAAGTGGACAGTAGATAGATACTCACTCACCTTTGTAGAAAATGGGCGTAAGAAGCAGCTTCCTGACACTGCTTAACCAGCAGTAAAACTTCCTCTCGATGGAAGCCAGCTCGTGGATGGCCAAGATAAAACCCGAGACGTTGCGGTCAGTCAGCAGCGCACACTTGTGACCGCCACTACACACGCTGCTGATGTAACCCATCTATGCATGGAGACAAATAACATGGATGTTACATGCTTATGTGTACAAAGTTGTTGGTACACTGTGCTTTCAAAAAGCCCCCCCGCCGCCCCCCCTTTTTTTTTTTTAACTGTAAGTCATAGTATGTCTCTAGTCTTCTCCCACAGGTGAACAACCAACCAAAGGCTGGCAAGAAACTTCACATTCCTGCCAAGAACCACACACAGCAGGTCAACATATTTCTATGGGCCCACACACCTCTATGCAAAAAGGCATCAAGGAGGGTCGGACTGTGTAACTTTCAGCCCTGTTCGGTGAGCGCTGGTTGGAACGGGCCCTCTGGCAGGATGTCTCATTCCGTTTCGACCTCGGCTCTTGCTGCTGCCCACAGTACATCAGCACGGGCTGGACACCGTCTCCGTCAGCCAAGAGGAGGGAGTGGCTCTGGCCCGCCGACACATCCCAAGCCCGAAGATCATCGGATAGCTACAGAAGCCACCCAAAGATAGAGAGTCAAGAAGTACAGAAAAGTGCAGATTCAATATCTTCAATGGTCAATCCTAATTCTGATGTCTACTCTTGTGACGAAGGACATACTGTATGTTATCATGGTGCAATAATTTAAGAGCTCTAAATAATGGCCCAACCAATTAACACATTACAACATAAGATAAAGACATTCAAACATTCCTCCTTCTCCCCCAAAAATGGCAACAAAAAAAAATGCCAATTTTTCGCTTTGTTGTAATGTTAAAAAAAATATTGAAAAACGGTGAAATGGTCTGCCTGTATGTCATAGTGTATCTTTGTTATAAGTGTGACATGACCAAAAATAAGTTCTTTTTTTTTTTAGATTCTTTTTTTAGAATGTTATCTTACAAAATATCGGAATCTGCAGCAGCCTTGGAAGGCACAGCAGTAAAACAGCATCCACAAATTCTTTCAAACATGACTTAACAATCAAAACTATGATTTATACCTTAGCCTGCTGTGGAACAGTAGCAGGACTGTTGACGTGACCAAGTTGTCCACACATGTTGCTGCCCCATGAGTAGACCTGCAAAACAAGAATGATTTCTTTGTCTATAATGTTGGACTGTATGTTTAAGAATTTTTGAGATTTGTTTTTTTTGTTTTTTTTTAAATCTGAAGGAAGGGGAAAAAAGAAGAAGTTGTGACAGCTAAGGTCAAGGTTTGGGGTCACGAGAAAGCATTTGTTAAGCCTCAGAGTGTGACAGTTACGGTACCTGGCACTGAGCGGTGAGAGCCAGTGAATGGTGTGATCCTGCGGCGACTTTGATCACTTCCTCGCCTGTCAAACTCTTAATACAAAGAGGCTGGAGTCTGGGAGCGCGCACATGTGCACAGGCACACGCACGCAACACACACACACACACACACACACACACACACACACACACACACACACACACACACACACACAATGTTAAAGGAATACGTCTCGGAGAGAGTCGCTATATTTTCAAAGCTAATGTGTTCGCCGCGCCAGCTCTGAATTGGATCCCTGTGCAACCAGTCAGACCTTGCCAGTTGATCTCCATGGCCCAGTTGCCCCTCCGACCCTCTGCCCCAGCTCCACACCTCTGTCTCCAAGGACGGAAAACCATCCTCTGAAGAAGAGGATGGCTTGCTTCCACAATGTTGTTGTCGCCTTGGGGTTGCTAAGAAAAGGGGGGGGAAGCATGTGATCCAAAGTAATTATGGCTGAAATTATTGATTGAGTAACTCTGCTTCAAAGCTTCACATTTTTCCACATGGGCTAATGTTACTGCACACCCGCATAGCACCGTGTCAAATTCATGTGTTGGCGTAATGGCTGTGAGTGTAACACTCAACAATACGCAGACTGGCTGAGAGGCAGTCATCAGCCAGTTGCTAACCTGAGCTCACGATAGCTAATTGTAAACTATCATTCGCTGACTCCCACGTCACTCACCAGGCCAGGGCCCACCTTTAAAAGCCAGACACCCTCAAAGTCACAGATACCGCGAGGAATGTGAGGATGGCCACCCCAAGTGGACAACAATAATACCTGCACCTCACATGTATTTTTTGATTACTGATCGATTAATGGGATCATTTTATAATAATTGATTCTTAAAATATTTGATAGCTCATAACTGCAGCACCTAAAAGCTATCAAACGTCAGTGGTGATAAACACAAGAGAAGTACAAGGGCGTCTAAAAGATGACCATATGCTAAAAACACATCTTCCCATGCCAGCCAAATGACATAATCCGTGCTGTGTGTTCCAGGTCCACCCCGGGTCAGCAGCTATACTTTGGACTCACTCCAGATGATTCAACTCTTCACCTTCCTGTGTAAGCTAAATCACACAACCATGCAGAGAGGCTCCTGACCGGTCAATTTGGAGGCAGAGACACGAAGGCACATTGTTTCGCTACAACAGCTGATCCTTCGCACGGCTGCAAACAGTCCGAAAACCTTAAAAAGGCCCACAACCAGGGGAGGTAAATATAACCAAATAAAGTGCAAATAAGTTTAAAAAAAACTATTGTGGTTATCCACAAAAACAGAACTATCTTAACTGTGATAAGAGCAAGAAGAACAACTTTGTTAATAACTAATTTTGACTATTTTGGTGACGTTGTTAATCAGGTTGCTGTCATTGTTACCAACCATTGGTGGGTGTTCCAGGTAGGGAGAATCTCCTGTTTCCCGTTTTCCCTTTCAGGTTAATGTCTGTCAGACTAGAGCTCTTGTGTGACAGCATTACTTTTTTCTTCCGCAGAGGATCCTCTTCCAAGCCCACTAAAGAGGAAGACCGGACCACCTCACTGCTGGAAGAGGAGAGAAGATGACAATGAGGTGCCACATGGTGTCCAAAAATATTTGACATCATTTGCAGCACATCTTGGGCAAACTAAACAGGCTGCATGTTGAAAAATAAGAATTAACACGTTCAAACAGTTTTTTTTTCAACCAATTTCACAAAGGTGAACAAAAGTTAAATATCAGCACTGCATGTGACAAATCACAAGTCGGTAGTCCAGCTCCTGCCAAACACGCTGGAGCTTGCCTTGGGTTCAACGCCCCCCCCCCACACACACACACACACACTGTGGGCTTTGCTTCTGCATGTAGCATGTTTTTTTGGAGGGGGGGGGGAAACGAAATATGGATAATATGACAAAATTCTTGATCCGGGGGGGCATTTTGACAAAAGCATGTAACAAAAATGTCATTAAGGCATTGAGTACCGTTTTAAATTGTGTGTGTGTGTGGGGGGGGGGGTTAACTTTGTTTTTAGACATCTTGAGACAATTTGCATGAGAATCGGCTGTGTTGTTGAATTATGAAATGATTTCACATTTTTGGGGAACGCCCGGTACTTTAGGCGAAGGGCCAATGTTTTTGGTCATGTCTTACCGAAATGTCAAGTCATTTTCACAACTTGTGTGTAGCAGCTCATTAGAAGGAGTTGAGGAAAAGCTATCATCTGAAAAGATAAAATTAAAAAAAAAGAGTAAGGAAGGACGGTTAGCAAACCAGAGAGAACAACAAAAAGACCACGCATATGATATTCTATACTATCTAAACTACTTTGCATATTATCCAACCACCTGAGGTGTGACTGCTCAGTGAGTCTGCATCACCAAGTCTTCTGCTATGTTGCATCTCTAATGAGTGACCAGAGAGCTTCTGAAGGAGTTTGTGAAGCTCCAGCTCATTAGGCAAAGTAGCTTTCTTTTTATCTGTCAAGGCTGGCAGCGGGTATGATGTAGTGCAGCTGTCCGTCTGGGTTAGGGGGTCAGCGTGTTCGGCAGGCTCAATCTCCGCACCGGCCAGAGGAACATTTCTAAGGGACAGAAGAAAAAAAAAACGCGAAAGTGGAAAAACAAGTCATAGAACGAAACAGAAATGCAACATTTTGTAATACTTTACTCTTTATTGTCAGATATGCTGCAGGAGTATGGAAACGGATCAGCTTGGGCTTCATGGCTAACGCCAGGCTGCCGGGACCTTTGTTTGGAGCGTTTAGTGGCTGAAGTCTAAAAATTGAAACCACACAAGACTTAATATTTCTCCCTGCATCAGATTTTTGTTTTCATCAAGTTCAACCTCTGCTGTCATGCTTTCCGTTAACTCCACCCCAAGTGGACAGTAGTGCGCATCTTCAGCGGTAAAAGGCTCATCCCTCTTTGATGGTCGCCTCTCTAGTGGTTTTGGAGTGTTTGGGTTTTGAAGATGTAAACAACGGACCAGAGCCAAGCTGTGGTAGGCCCCACAAGCCACCTGTTAGAGATTACAACCATCATACTGGAAAGCTAGAGTGTTTATTTTTGGTGTTTAGATGACAAGATGGGTAAAAAATAAAATTGTACCTGAATCACATGCCTGCCTGCCAAGTGTTCCACCTGAACCAAAAATATAACATAACGTCAGCAATGATGTCATCATTAATCATAGTTGATAACAGGGCAGCCTAGTGGGTAGCACATTTGTCTCAAAACAAGACTTTCTGAATTTCAATCTCTGCTCAGGCGTTCCCGTATGGAGGTTGCTTGTTCTCCCCGCGCTTACGCGGGTTTTCTCCTGAGGTACCTTGAAATACGAGTCACCTGACTTATGGGTTTTTGAAGTATTTATAAATTGGCCTTTATACAGCCCGCAACGCGCATTGAATTGAATGAGAACATTTGACAAAAACTATTTCATCGGTTTTAATTCTACTTATGTCATTACTGTATGTTTTCATCAATTATAATTTTATAGTGACATATTTCTCCTAAAAACATACTGCATTGTACCAATGTAGGTAAAAAAAGTCTACCGTACTTGTGGGGGAAATATATATATACATGTGTGTGTGCATGTGTGTGTGTGTGTGTGTGTGTGTGTGTGTAATCTTTAAAAGCTAAAAATCGACTTATTTTCCATAATTAAAGGTTGTATCAAGTGACCTTTTGTGGTTTCCACACGGGGAAGTTGCTTGTGACAAGACCGAGCTGGCACCCACTGCCCCAGGCCCACAGCTCATTCTGAGCAGACAACGCCAGACTGTGCTCCCGTCCGCAGGCCAAATCCACAATCCGAACTGCTACAGGAGGAACCACCTCATTGTCCACCACAGCCAGCGGGTATGGTTCTGCAACTAACACAAACTGGGAGTCAAACACAGAGGCTCAAAAATGAGATTTGAAACAGGTTGAACAAAGAGGATTTATGTTTTCGTGGAAAGAAGCCAAAGAATAAAGAAAACGAGGTGATGACTAACCAGTCACATTGGAGTCCGAATCCCCCTCACTTGGTCCACACTGTCCTGCAGTGTTCTCCCCCCACATGTAGATGCCACCCTGCTCGCTCAACGCCCCGCAATGAAAACCACCACAAGCCACATGGACCACGGTCGTCCCTCGCAGGGAGGCCTCCAACAATGGAGCTGACGGAGGAACACTGAGCCCCCTCCACAGTAACTCTCCAAAAGAATACACGAGACCACCTGAAAGATTCATTCGACACAGTGTGAATTGTTTGTTTGTTTTTTTTTTTTTTTTTACTTTGGATTATATTTTACAGCTGGTTAAAAAGAAATCAACATACACACACATACATATATATACATACATATATACACACACACATATATATACATATATACATATGTGTATGTATATATATATATACATATGTGTATATATATATATATATATATATATATATATATATATATATATATGTATTTTTTTTAATTACAAAATAAACAAACAAATATCAAAATTTGGTTGAAATGGATCTTCTGAAAAGTGTTTTTCTGTTTAAATGTCATGCAATGTAGAACTTTCAATTTTTGGATTGAACTATTCAAATAATGTTTTCCACGATACTCTAATTTATTGAGATGTTCTGTATGGAATGTTTCATACACAAAACATGACGAGTGAATTGGAGCGTAATCTCTTACACTGTGCCAGCAGGAGTCCGTGATGTTCTCCCAGAGCCACCTGAAGAACACACTGGGACAGAAGCACTCTTTCTGGGCTAAGCGGCTCACTCGGTCCCCCTGATTGCCAAATGTGGAGCAGTCCTCGCTGTGGAGGTGTGCCGGCCTGCTCTTCTGCAAGGCTGCAAATGTAGTTAGTATGAATAAGTTGTGCCTGACAAACTTGTGTAGCCTTGATACCAAAAGCAAGTTCTGGTAATTGCACATGGATTACGCTGAACAACAATAAGATAACAACAGCAACGACACTTCAGTACAAAGGATTATCTGTGGTCTGGGTATATGTATTTGTCTTTTTCTCTGACTTTTATATAACACCACAGAGTCAAGTCAAGTGAGGCTGAGAGTAGAAGACCAAAACAACCTGACGATCAAAAATGTGTCGCTTTGGCTGTGTTTGGAGATAAAAAAAAAAAAAAAAAGGCTAACTTCTGAAAACACCAGCATTATCTTTCCTGTGTAAATACGGAAGGAATGTGCACATTCATTCATGAAGCTTTGAACACAAGGCTGCTGCCTGATTTAAAAAAAAAAAAAAAAAAAGCAGCTGTGTGTACATTGACTGAGGGATGCATTACTCCGACAATTCTTGATCCAAATATACAGACGCACACACACACACACACACACACACACTATATACATTGGGTGATATATTGACTTTGGGTGAATGACGGGGTCCACCCTGGATTCATCGCCAATCAATCGCAGGGCACATACAACTGTCCTCACTCACACACAGCCTTCTGAATATTTTAAGGCCCACATAAATGACCTAACATGTATGTTTTTAAAAGGTTGGAGGAAGCCGGGGTACTCAAAGCAACCCCATGCAAGTAAGGAGAGAAAACGCAAACGCCAGCGAGCCGAGAGTCAAACCAGGAACCTCTCAAATGTGAGGCAGATGTGCTTGAACCACTATGACACCATACATATGTGAGAGAATGGAAAGAAAATATCCTAGCAAATGCTTTTTTTTTTTTTTGGAATTGCTCTTATGTCATTGCAATATCATTGGCCTTTTTATTGAATGATTTATTTATTTGTTTGTTTATTGAGACGTTATTTTAAAAGCGTATGGGAGTAAATAATATGTTGGGTCTATACCTCTGCTCTTCGTTCTCCATCTCTTCAGAATTCATCCATTCCAAAGGCCAGGGAAGACATTTTTAGTGCAGTGTCTTTGGTTTTAAGTGGAAATCTTCCGTCATGTCTTGACAGCATTGTGCCCAGCCAGTGTGCAGCTATACGTTGCCTATAGGAATTACACAATACAACTTTTAAAAATAACTTCATACAGAACAGCATCTAAATGACCAGAATGCGCAGCATTATCAAATAACATGCATGATAATGTAGGGTTGAATGAAAGGCATGTACAGTACTACCGTCAATGACATGTTAGAACTATCTCCAACATGCATCAAGTTGCTGCATGTTGGTGCAAATACTGTGCATTGCTCACGTTTGACACGCAGGACACAAAGAATGAAATCACTTGCAGAACGGTTTGCTGAAAAACACACGGACATCTACCAAACGAGGCTAACTGGTATACTTAAGTGTTCTTTTGTGTGGCAGGCCAAGCCTCAAGGTTTGTTTTCATTATCGACACTTGGCTAACGGAATGCTACGAAAGCTAAGCTAACTCTTCGGTGAAAACTTACCGACTCTCAAAGTGAACCCGATACAAGGTTACGTAGGTTTGTGATGAGGGCAAAAAAGAAAAAAGAAAATACACACCGTAGCTGCGCGTGTGGCTATGGTTGTAAAAGACGGCGAGTAGAGTCAATTGCTCAAATGTCAATCAGTGCAGAGCAGTCAGTCGAGGGCTGAAGTTGTGACAGCTGAGTTCAGCAATGTTGTGGTTGGGAATCAGCAACAGGCTTCCTACGGCGGCCCGCTAAAATCAAACTTTACTCAGGCGTGAATTTCTCACAGCGTTGATGGTGAAAAACAGAAACTTCAGATTTTGACGCCCCCCGTTTACTCGTGGGCAAATGTCATTAATAAAAGGTTTCTAAAAAGTATTTATTTAACCAGGTGACGCAACTGAAAACGCATGATTTCTCATTTACAATGCCCACCTGGGAGCAACAGAAAGAAATACAGTTAAACGAATGCAACAAATACAATTGGGTGTCTTCGAAAAGATATATTTGCAATGCAAACTATAAAATAAGTTTTTCCCTTTGAAGTAATTTCCCTGCAGTCTAGCGCACTTTCCTGGCCTCTGCCAAGCCCTTCTGCGCTCCTGGATGGAAGGAGCCACAAATCAATGCCCCTTTCGACAAGAGCCTGTCCTGTTTATATCATAAACGATTCCGATTACAAAAGGGGTAACCCATGGGGTCTTATTCATATCATAAACGATTCCGATTACAAAAGGGGTAACCCCCGTGGTTTTTAAAAAATGGCATATTCTATTTTTTGCGTGTGTTTACATGGCCTTTAAAAAACTGAATACTGCTCTGTCAATATTCAGGTTTTAAAAGGGTTATTATTCTAACATCAGGTGGCAACGATGAGTAGCTGCTCACTTTTGTTGCAACACCCTCAAGGGTAGTTTTAGGGAGGGGGCCGGAGCAGCAGTTGCCAGTGTCCCTGTGACAAGTGAGTCTGTTCCCCCCCCCCTTCTAACTCCCACAAAGATTATACAGTACAGTACTCTGTGACAGTGCACACGCAGAATGTGTAATGATACGCAAGGGTCAACATTCTAGTCGGTGCTGTCGTATTTTGTATCAAGACTTCAAAAAATATTTTACAATGTAACTTAACAACTCAAGTCAACAGCAACCCTATGGTTATGTTTGCCAACACTCGAGCAACATCAACATAACACTTTAAGTATCTGGTAAAGTGCAGCCTTCAAAATAAGCGAATGTCGGTAAAATAACAACAGGATCCTTTTAGTGCATTGGACCATTGAAAATAGCTGTCAAGTTTTGTTGATAGACATGACAAGCTTGAATTTACCGTTCACCTAACAAGAAGCACTCAGAAGCAAGAAACACCATGGCAATAGAGTTGCTATTCACATGGGATAGGAAGGATAGGGATCAGGCTGACGACAAATAGCAAAAAATGCCATATAATTGCCAATTGGTGAATTTTCTTTTCTTTATTTTTTTACAATCTCCCCAATATTCAACAAAAATGATAATAAACATGAGATAAATATTTTCATGAAAAACAAAGGCAAAATGAAATAAAATGATCTACGCATATATATATTTTTTAAATCTGCGGACATGCAACTCTGTGGGTTCCGAATGCCAATTATGCGGGGGTCGACTGTATTGTTAGATGCTCTTCTATTGCTCTGTCCCAGTCGTCATGGCAATTTGCATGAGACAGAGCTGCTGACCTCAAGCAGAGGCGATGTTCTTTTGTGCTCCTTGGAATTCTCTTTCCTTTTTGTCGTTTGATGAGAGAATCTCAGAGACCTTTTAGGAGGCTGTTTTAAAGTGTGAAAACATTGCATTATCTGATTTCTAACGGATTATTTTGTTACAGCTCATCCAATTGAGGTGCTTCACTCAAAAGACATGACGCACGGGTTGCAATTGTGCATGAGAAGTGCAGTTGCAATGAGCTGACAAAGAAAGAAGACATCAGGAAATGGAAGTTGGAGCTGACAGGCTGGGAGAGCAGGTTTTCATCCACTCCCTCATGTCAGGTGTTGCTCTTTTCACTCACCTGTTCACTCATCCTTAATATGATTTGTTTTGTTTTTTTTTTACCTCAAGACACTGGCGCCAAGTAGGATTTATGTGTCATGTTTCAAACACAATAATTCAGAATCAATTGACTAAATCCTTTTTACTGATCTTTATACTGATCTTTAAAATGGCTTTTCATGCATTCAGGCAATAACAACGCAGTTGTATTGGCTGGTCGGGACGGTGCACATTAATGAACATCTACATGTAAAAATGCCAGAATTAATCAAGGGCTGCTTTCCATCAGCAGTCTCTGGCGCGTCAGAAGATGTACATTAAAATAACAACAACAATAAAGAAAAACAATTCAGCACATAGAGAACTTTACAATTAACATAACAACTCGCAAAAATAATGAAATGACATCGAAGCTTTACTTTGAAATTAGACAGATCTAATTTTTTTCCAGCCAGGCTTTTCATGCATTCAGGCAATAACAACGCAGTTGCATTGGCTGGTCGGGACGGTGCATATTAATGAACATCTACATATAAAAATGCCAGAATTAGCCAAGGGCTGCTTACCATCAGCAGTCTCTGGCGCGTCAGAAGACGTACATTACAATAACAACAACAATAAAGAAAAGACAGAGAAAAAACAATTCAGCACATAGAGAACTTGACAATTAACATATCAACAACTCGCAAATATAATGAAAGGACATAGAAGCTTTACTTTGAAGTTAGACAGATCTAATTTTTTTCCAGCCATTTTTTTCAGATTGAATTTAAAAGTCTCTTCTTGTCTTATTGGAGTTAGTATCTCATCCCAGACCTCAGTAACTTTGACTTATAAAACCTGATTGTTGATGGTGTTTTGTCTTTGTGGCAGGAATCTAAATAGGTTGAAGTGTGCAAAGTTGGTTTACAAGGAAATAAAATCAGACTTCCACGGAAGGATGATGTACAGTTGGCCAGGGAGATCGTACATCTGTGAATTAGGCACTCGAACACTGCCTTCCTTGTGTGTGAAACTCTTCTTTGTTTTTCTGCATGTCTGTATTATACTGACACCCGGTGGCCAAGTCAAGCCACAATGAATTAATCATGATGCACAATCTATTTTAATTATTTTCATGTTGTTACATGATCATTTTGTTTGTATGAAGTAAAAATCAATGGTGCATATAAATAGACACGTGCTGACATGAAGCCAGGCCACAGAACACAGTTCTAAGAGTGTGGTTTCATCAACCATGATAGCGTGAGGAGAAGGCAAAACAAAAACACCCTCCAGATGTACGTTTTATAGAGTACATATTATGCTCTTATCTACAGTGGAGGTACATTCCCATATTTTTGTCCGACAGTTTTATTTTCATCTACAATAAGTATGTTCTAAGATTGAAATAATAAACCGACAGCAGAATGCACACTAATAGATGATCATCATAGCTTTTAATAAGGTAATGGCAAATTTACGAGCCAAAGTTATCATCTGACAGCACAGTGACCTAATGGGGTGCATATCGGCCTTCACATTTCAAGAGGTTCTGGGTTTGAATCTCAGTTCAGGCCCTCCTGCGTAGAGTTTGCATGTTCCCCTGTTCTTGTTTGGGTTATCGGGTGTGAATTTGAGTGTGAATGCATATTTGACTCTATGTGCCCTCTGGTTGGGTGGCAAGCAGACCCACTCGTCCAAAATCAGCTGGGTTACATCTGACAGCACAGTGACCTAATGGGGTGCATATCCGCCTTCACATTTCAAGAGGTTCTGGGTTTGAATGTCAGCTCAGGCCCTCCTGCGTAGAGTTTGCATGTTCCGCTGTTCTTGTTTAGGTTATCGGGTGTGAATTTGAGTGTGAATGCATATTTGACTCTCTGTGCCCTCTGATTGGCTGGCAAGCAGACCCTCTCGTCCAAAGTCAGCTGGGGTCGGCTCCAGATCACCCGTGACCCTAATGAGGAAAAGGGCGATCAACAATGAATGGATGTTTATGTACTGAATATTGAAATGCCTGTCATATTAAAAGAACCAAGCTACTGATGAATTACGGATATGCTGCTTGTGCAATATAAAAAGGATTTAATCATCGACGCTTTTTATCACGATAACTTATTTTCTTTGATTAAGACTTCTCAGCTTATCCTTCACTTGATCCCAAAAAATGGAAGATGAGACTTTATTTTTGAGACAGTATGGGTGGGGTCGAGTTTCAATCTGGAAATGTGGGCTGAGGCCATGTGTGCAGGCATGCCTTTTAAGAATATTGAAAACACATGTCTTGAGCCTTGGAATAAAAAAATAAAAATAAAAACTTACGGGCACTGTGTGACTGATACACAGATGCAGGCAACTGCACTCCTGCCTACAGGTACAGAAGTGTCACTGATGGTGTCGCAATACATTCACTTGACTTCAGTGCAAGCAGTGCGGGTTCAGTTCATACTAAGCGACAGTGTGAATGGTTGTCAATCTCTATATCAAAGGTGTCGGGCCAAAACCACATACCGGTAAGTTACAATTTGGTAGTCTCTCTCTCTCTCTCTCTCTCTCTATTTTTTAAAGTCTATCCTTTTCATCAGTCCACATGTGTGGGTGTTATTTTTACAAATGATTGGCTAAAGCGTTGAAAATGGCTCAGGATTTGTTTTATCTATCTAGGATCTATCTGTAGCTAGCTACATAGCTAGCTAGCTAGATAGATAGATAAAGTTCTATGTGAACACAAAAGCCGTCCTCGCATTGTTTACTTAAGAGGCCACGGTTATGGGCTGACACCAAAGTGACATCTTCATATGTGTATTTTACGAATACATCATTCATTTAGATTTATTGGCTGACTGGCTCATTCACACGACGATGTGACACCGCTCTTTGGAAATGCGTCGAGTGTTCTTGAGAAGCTAGGTGTGGTCAGAAAGAAAAACTGTGTCATAAAAAGACAGCGACGGCCATCTGGCTCAGGTCAACCTCCCACCGAGGGTGCTGATCACTGTAGTTTGTGTGTGTGTGTGAGTCCCTCATAGTGAAAGGTGATGACCACAGCTGTGTGTGTGACCTCCGAACCGCAGGGGGGCCTCCCCCGACACTACCCCGCCTAATCCTCTTCCTTCTCCACGTTCCTTTTGTAGGGCCTCTGCTCCTATTCTTCAGCAATCCCCTCCCCCACACACTTCTTTATTTCAAAATCCTCCATCAAACACACAAGAATTAACAATTACTTTAAA